AAGAATAGCACTTGAGATGTTCTTGAAACCTAGGTGGTTGTAATTTTATGCTTCTTGTTCTGATCGAAAAAGTTTCCCAAGGCTCATTTTCTCAAGGATTTGTGACAGTCCACAATGCATATCTCCTGTTGAACCAATCAAACTTACTTACAACTAATGTAACATACTTCAGACCATATGATTCATCCATGCCCATTGTTTCTGCTTGATTCTCTCTCTCTCTCTCTCTCTCTCTCTCTCTATGAGAGATCCTACGCCAAAATGGGCCCATTAAAAAAATACTTGTCATCCAATGATATGGGCCATCCACTTCCCATGCTCGATCTCAAAGCTTCCACACACATAAATGGTGAAAAATACGCCATTTATGAATTTTAATTTAACTTCCTTTACATCTATAAACTAAAGTGTCATTCACAACATCTTAAATGGCATGCAATCACCGTATTATCTATAGCCATGTAATTGTGCTTTATTCTTTTTTTAGGAAAGAAAGTAGGTCATGGGATTATGCAGTGATTAATGGAACTGATCTCACTTCCCAAGCCGAGAGAGAGAGAGAGAGAGAGAGAGAGAGTTTACTACTTAACTCACATTTGTTGCCTACAAACTATAACCACAAGCTCTTCTTTTTATGACCCTGGAATTAAATAAGAGAGCAGCCATGGGATGATGAGTGAGGGACTGAGCTAGAACAACACTACCAAATTTAGGAGATAATCTGCATCCGCCACCAAAGAGTTGGTGTTCTTGGAAGATGATCAACGGACTTCAATAGAGTTTTCACTGCAAAATCCAGAGGGGCATTGAGAGATCAGTTGCCATCATCACAGACGACTGAAACAATAAGAAAGAATCAGAGCTTAACCAGAGTCAACCTTCGTCATCATCTTCTCATGCTTCTCCCTTCTCTACTCCTCTCTTCTTCATCATCTTCATTTTTACAAGCAATAAAACGATGCAGCGAGGCTGCCAACATCTTCCACTCCACTTTCAAATAATCCAGGACCATAGATCAAATGGACAAGATATTTATGGAAAAGTGCCAAAATGGCTCGGTTCTCTCATGGGGGGTACTTGGATTCAAGCTTCTTCAAAATAAAGTTGGTGACCCCCCAGTCAAATCCTCGGTACTGGAGCCATCTCGCCATCCTGGCCCTACGATTTGCCAATGATGCAGTTTGGCCTTGTAGCCACTGTTTTGAGGCTTGAGCAAAGAGACGATCCATAGAAATCTTGGACATGCCAACTTGCAAACCACTGTTTGTGCTGTCATCTTTGAATACCGCATTTATAGCTCTCTCTATATCCGCTTCATTAACACCCTTCTGAAGAAGCGCCTGAAGCAAGAGCATGCTCCTCGTTAGGTCAAAACGTTGTGATGGTTGGGAGCGGCTTCCAGAAAAGTGGGAGCAGCAAAAAAAAGGAGGAATTGTAGGAAAATACGTGTTGCCTCCATTCTGAGCTGTATAAAATACAACTAGAATTCAGGAGGTCTGATTCTCACCTTCCTGATCCTCCTAGGGCCCCAGCTTAACGAAATCCATCGAGATTGAGAAAATGATTCAGCATACAACCCGTCATTGAGAAATCCTCTGTCGGAGAGTGTGACATTATACTCTTCACGTAAAACATTTATATTTCGAACTTTTGTAAAATATCGATACATATTTCCATGTAGTGTTCAAGCAAGTTGGTTCAAGGTTTACACAATGCATATTATTTTTCAAGATACTGATGCCACACTGATGAAGACAGATAAAACCTTGAAAAATCTCATTCTTCAGTAAAGGGCAAAACATTCAACAATTTCAGTCACAGAATGATTGTTTATGAGTACTCAATTATTTCCTTATTTTAATATCATACAATAGTTAATAACAAGTATTATATAGGACGGTATGCAGTCTGCACTTGTACCTGATACAGCACCTCACGGCACCAACGGGAATGGGAACAGCATGTGTAGTTACATTATAAAAAGATATGAAAACACATACCTACTCTTCAATTCAGCAATCACCGACTCAATCACATCAAGAGGATAGTTCTTGCCACGCAGTTTCTTCATTAGCTCAGCTGTCGTGCATGCCCTGGGTGAAAACCAGTGTAATAGATGATGACAACAGATAACGATCCAACAACGCTGCGGATACAACTGCAGAACCAAACGTGACGTTCATTTTATTTAAGCGGAGACCTTGTTTCCTTTCATCGAAGGCCACCCCAATTTTTTTCAGTTACAGAACTTTAAATCTAACGGCCAAAAAAATGTGCTAACTAAGGAATAGAAAAGAGCTGAATCGTATAATAACACATAAAAGTCCCAGAAAATCAGTAAAGGCAGCACTAGAAAAGGCAAAAACATTATAAGTAACAATTAGTGTCTGTTCCTTGAATCGTCCTAACCTAGTCATAGGTAATAACCACAGTTTGCACAAAGTATCCTCTCTTTCAAGTGAAAAAAATATTCAAAATGTCTATGCAACTCGATGAAATTCTAACCTTGTCGCCAGTGATTCAATTGCCATTTTCCCAGCATCTTCCTTCACTTTATTGAATTCCGTAGTGTCACCACCGAATAGTACATTCCCAGGAGAATTTTTATGTATATCATGAGACCACTCAGTATCTTCAATAAAGTCAGATTCCATGCCATACCATTCGGGTCCTGTAAATCATTCAAACTCAACTTAATCAGTAACCAGGGGTGAATTCACTGAACTAACGAACAAAGAATAAAAACAGATGAAAAGGGCCAAACAAGGCGACTTTGATTTTAAAAAATGCCTAGTTTTTTCCTCCCCACCGTGTTTCTTTCACTCCTTGGCAACTGTTATCATGGCTCAAAAGAAAAGTGAGTGGCCCAATCCGTGAGCATCTTCAACTATCATAGTCAAATAAATGGCGTTTTCCTGCCCTTCAAAAATCCTATAACGACGGTATACAGACAAATGACGATAACTCGGGCTCATGTCACGATCATGAATTTATTAATGTAAGGTAATAAAAAATGGTGTAGATTTGAGCACTCTGTTACTAGCTAATGCATTAGCATGTAATGAACAGCATTAGCACGAAAAGTTTAAAAGAGAAATATTCTTCCAGGGAAAGCTTACCGGGTTCGGGTTCAAAGTACGAGATTTCATACGAAGATCCGTCTTCAGAACTTTGAGCTGGAAACCGGCTACCTGTTCTCAATGAACCTCTTTCTCTCCTTACATCTGGCATTTCTCTCAGTAACCTGGATTCTTTCGCCTCATTATTCTCTGAAAATGCGATGCGTTGGCTGCGTTTGATGTGTGAAGTCCACCTCGCCATGTATTTCCCAGGGATTTTCGAACCGTACGTTCTTCCCGCCCTAAAAAATAGATAGACCGCAAATTTCGGGCGTCACAACTCATTGCCCAAAAACATAGACACAAAGCCATATATACATATCTACGGAACGCTCTACCCGGCCTAAACAAGGATGAAAAGCCATGAATCCAAGGCGAGATTGATCGCAGAACAGAAGCCCTAAACCTCATCAAATCTATGAACAGCTATCCGATCCCTCACCACGACTGCGCGAGCACGCATCTGATCTCCAAGGAGAGGTGGATGCCCCGACACGCCAGCACGGGAGCCATTTCCCTCCCTCAGAACAAGCATTCCCTCCCCGTAGGCGCCACCGTTCGAATGGGCGGATCAACAATCATCCGATCACGATCAAAAAGGCCACGGGCCGAAATCTGCGTCAAAAAGGAATCTGGAGTGAGGAAGTCCGGAAGACTCGGGCCGGGCCCCGAGATTTTATAGCAGGCCCAAAAATCAACATTCGGAAATCGTGCCAAAAAAGCGCGGGAAACTGGGTCCCCACCTAGATGCGTTACAGTTAGACGCGGTGGGCCCCGCGAACGCAGGGCCCACAGTGATGGGCGAAATCCCTAGCAGAATCTTGAAAATATTCGATATAAGTTCACGAAATATTTAATTTATTTAATGGATACGAAAGTCATAAATCCATGATTCTCGATTAAAGTAGACGATTTATTAATCACTATCGTTATCAGCAGATGAAATAAAACCTCGCAAAATAATTATCAGAGGTAGCGTTGTTAATGAGCCTGTATTTTCTAGGCTTGGGCCCCGGGCCGGGCTCGGTTCGGGCTGGGGTTATTAAAGTAAGTGGGCCGGGCTTATTAAAGTCTTAATCTGGTCTGGTCTTGTGACTGGGCGGGGGCTTATTTCCTTAGACGGGGTCAGGAAAACGGCCCGGGTTTGTCTGGTCTCGGGCTGGCCCGGGATATAAATACCGTTGCCGGAATTGAATCGGAAGTATTTGTACAAATAAGTTGCGAATGAAGGTCAGACAGCTAGGAATAGTTCGTCGGTGAAGCGGGCCCACCTGATTCGGCATCGTACATTATAAAAAGGCGGGAGAGGTCTCTCCAGGCCGTGAGAGGATACGAAGGGGGAAGCGATAATCTCGCTGGCAAAGATCACAAGCGCGGATTTCCCTCGCAAAACGCGGAGGTCGGGATTTGATGTTGGAAGGTTTGTTCAGGGACCTGTGTTTTGATGTTGGGGAAGGCGAAATCCGTCTGGTCTCCGCCTCTCATTTTATGTTCTGTTCAGTCTGCTTTGCCTGGTTTTCAGAACTACGGGTCGTGGAAACTATGGTGGTTTAATCGGTTCCGGTTAAGAGTTTTTTCATTCGTTTTGGTCTTTGATCGAGGAGTCGGTTTTGGAACATTGGTCTCTGTGGAATGATTGCGTGGGCGTACCTGTCTTGCATCCTCTCCTACGCCAATGTGGTTCCAGTAACAGTTCGATCTACATTTACAATAGAATGTTGGAAATCTACTCAAATCCGTCTCTGTATTCAACGACAGATGCTGCTCTTGCTTTCGTTGAATTTCCAAAACAAATATAACATTTTTTTTATATAATAACTGAGACATAAAAAAATTCCCCATCTGAAGCGGTGCAGCTGAAGGCCTGAAATTGTCAGAATTTTCATGAAAATGGAATTTATTCCACATTACAAGTCATCATGATGCCGTCTTGTTCATACAAAATGTGGACTACTTTTTTGACGAGCTTAGGTCAAATTCTTCTCGTAAAATTTGCTTGCAGTTATGCTGAAACGAAAGTCATGAAGGAAGGTTGCCTGATGAAATGTGCTGGTAGGGAAACTCCATTCTGCCAGGTATTCTAATTGGGATGGTTCGTGGATGTATATATTTAGTACAATAGAGTAAGTTAAGCCTGTTATGAACCATCTGGAAGCTCTAGGTGGAAAACATATTTGCTTTCTGGCGATTCATAAATTTGATAGGTTATAACGAAAAGCATAGTAGGCAGATGCTGCCTGACTTCGACAATTCCATTTCTTGTGCCACAATTTGGTTCTCTCTCTCTCTCTCTCTCTCTCTCTCTCGCTATATATATATATATATATATATATATATATATATATATATATATACATATATACGTATATATATTTCACTAACCATTAATTCTATGAGAAATCATGTCTTTTACTGAATGCCCTTTGCATGCTGCTCTAACTTTTGATCGCTAAAATGTTTCTGTTATGCCTTAGTACGACAGTGTATTTTGGTACATATTTGAAAATCGTCGTCTCTCTGACATTTATTTTCATATATTACTTTCAGGTCTTGTCATCTAAGATGGGCTCCGAATCAAATGAACATCTCCAACAGATTTCTGCTGGATCTCATTTTTCTGGATTTAATTTAGTTGATCTGCAACCTATAAATTTGGAAATGGAGCCGTCAGCGACATTCCCAGAAAATACTCATGGACAACCCTTTATAATTGGTATCGTTTTTATTTACAGTATCACTCTTTTATTCTGGATAATTTATCTATGTTATGCCCATGTCTTCAATTGTACTGGGTGTTTCATAGCATCCACTTTAACTCTGTTCAAGGATAAATACATATGTGGAGGCATAATTTCTGTTATTATTAAGTTCAACTTCCCTGAAGGAAGTCAAGCTTTGACTGTGTTATCCAAATGCTTAGCTTGAAATGCTCCCGGACCATCTAATGCTGAGCCATAGTGTTAGTAAAATTTCTTCTGAGGGACAATGATAAAACCGTGTCATTATGAATGGAGTAGTATTCCGGATCACGAGACTAGCTCTTTTTAAAAGCCTTTTCCACTGGCTGACTTGATGTACTTGAGGAAAAAAATATTTATCTGAACATATGCTCTGGTTTCTGGGAGCCACCAGTATGTCTGTTTGATGTATTCATCTCAAATAATTATGGACAATGGCAATAAAATAACATATACTCTTGTCAACTGCTGAACGGTAGGGAGATGAACGACATTCTAAAGGAGAAAAGGACTATGATTTTTTTTCTTAATGTGTGTGTCTGAATGTTTTACAGCTTCTGGAGCCGAAAAGGGAATTAAAGATTTCTGTGTACTTTATGGATGGCCGTTGTAGATGTTACTTTAGGAAAAGACTTGAAATCAATGTCGCAGATAGAGTGGTGTATATGTAGCGTTTGCTTTTACAATTTTCTCTATTTTTCTTAGTATTCTTATTGCAAGGCTACTGTAATTTCTTATTTGATTTCCTCTCTATTGCAACTATAGCTGTGCACAGCTTTTATATATATTGCATTTTTTCAGATCACTAGGATACTTGAGAGCATATTTTGAGAATCTTCATTTTCATGAAACGTCTGAGACAGGTGTAGCTGGTGGAGCAGCATCGGGAAAAACCACTGTCTGTGATTTGATAATAAAACAGCTTTGCGATCATCGTGTAGTTCTTGTCAACCAGGTGTGCTCGAAAGTTTTTATTTTATTTGTTGTTTCAACTAAATATTTTTTTGTACTAGTTTCTTTCAAACTCCGCCAGAATCGAACTCAGGTTCAGCTAGAAATCTTTTATGTTGGATATGATCAACGAGTAACCTCATGTATCCTGAGGTTCTGTTATCCCAAACTAAGCTGTCAGGGCAGGTTGAAACAAGAATGTGCTGAAAATCTTCTACTTTACTATGATCTAAGGATGATACAAAAGTCTCCAATATCTAATCGTTTGATGAATCTTTCATTCTTCATTCAGACTGCTGAAAATTTCATCTGTCTGAATTTTTTTTCTGACCGTTTAACAATTAAAAAAAATATCACGTTGCATCTATTACTCCACCATTGGATGCTTGTTCAGACTTTGTAATGGATTTTTCTACAAGTTGTGCCAGTGGTCAGAAAAACACTGATAGGCAATTTCACATGATGATAGCTCGAGATTTTCATGAAATCATAGATTGGGTCATCATCCTGTTGTCAAGTACTAATCACGTGTAGGTGTGGTCCTGATATATTATATGTTTTCCAGGGCCTATAAATCTTCTTGATGTGGGCTTATAAAATTTCGAGGGCTTATAAAGATTCGATAATTTGCTTTACATGCTGAAGCAATATTTTATCAGTTAAATTGGCTTATTGGATCATTAAGAGATGGTAGAATTTTGCATCTTGCATAAGTTTAAAAATCTGATATGGGTGTTATGTCGCTCATAGCTTCTGGATTTCGACTTTTTGTTTTTCTGTTGTTATTTGAGTGTTCGCGGAGAAGAGATTTCAATGCTAATCTTCCACTGTTATTTTTGTCTTGAAAAATTTGAATTGGTCCATGTTGATTGTAGACTTTGGGGAGGGTGTTGAATATTTACTGGTCTTCTTACTGTGCAAGTAGCCTTTATTTGGGAACTGAAATATGGTCCTCATCACCAAACTGTGAACTGTCTTAGGGTTATATAGGGTTTGTCGTGACTTCAGAGACTGACAAACGTATTGGGTCGAATGATTGGTTTGTTTGTATAACATAGTGTTTGGTGGATTTAATGTGGAGATTGGGTTGTTGACTTATTTTCAACGGCCTGTGGAAAAATATCTTGGGGTACTTGTTCACATATGAGCACTTAAAAGTACTCAGATTCCAATGAAATAAATCCATCACTTGGATAAAACTTTGCTTGATAAAAGAATCCTACTAGTCATTTGATTAAAATGACGTCCTTTCTCTAGTCATTGGTTTTCACTTTCAATATAATCTGGAGTGGATTTATGTACTGCACCTTTGTCATTCTGAAACTCTCGACTAATGTTAGATAAAACCGGGTAGTAGTGAGCTCACAATAAATAAATAAATTAATTAATTAATTTTGATGGTTATTTATTTCATAAAGGAAAAATGTGAACATGAGAGGCCATACCAATGTATTATATTAAATTGTCATTTTTATTTCTATAAATCATGCAACAAGTATAAAGGTCTCATGCTCATGGTAATGCAGGATTCTTTCTATCACGATTTGAGTGAAGAGGAGTTAGCACATGTTAGCGAGTATAACTTCGACCATCCTGGTAACTTCTATTGCTAGTAATTTTTTAGGATTTGCTTCTTGGGATTCTTTTTTCTACCAATATCATTTGCACACTCTGTGTGAGGCACTGCTTCTAGCGAAAAGTCCTTTTGAGGACTTTGAGCACATCATGTATGCATGGACGGGACAATTATTTGTGAATGTATACGAGGCGATTTAAATCCAAGACGGCAATGCAGCGTCCATCAATTCTATGCATGGTGGGGTAGTAGGTGAACGGTGCTTTGTTTTGAACAGCATTCGTTTTTATCTCCCTAATAAAAGCATTGAGGCCAAGCAATCATTGTCATGGTCATTGCGCAAGTGGCTGTCCAATGCGTCCTCAGAATTTTGAATGGATAAGGTCTGATTCTCATCAGAATGAGCAGACTTTCTGAATCTATATGGCCAAATACTTGAAAGTAATTCTATCTGGTTCCTACCTTGAGGTTCCCTATTTGCTGGCCAGTGGAGGTATGACCAAACAAAACCATCACATTGGTGTTTAAAAGCAAGAAGTTACAATGGATATGATCGTGATGGACATTAGAGACTCAGAGAACGAAAGTGAGCTGCTACCTAAATTGTGGCATCGGGAAATTAAGAGAGAGAACAGGCTATTCTTTTTAAATGACACAATAATGCATCAAGTAATTGGAAAATAAATGAAGGAAATAATCTAGAATTTTGAGACACTATATCTAAAACACTCTTAGATTGAGGTTTTGTTTTATTGTGACTTCCAAGACATAGGTCAAAAAGGAAAAACATGTTTTCAAATATCCATTTTTATTTTCGGAAAATTGAAATTCTGCTTTGGAATATTCACCCGTATACTGAATGATCCTTTTAGTCTTAGGGTGCCACTATATCCCGTTACTTCAGTTTTACTATGCTCCTAGAAATGTTATAAAAATTGATACTCAAATGAAAACGATCAAATCTGGACACAGAAAAACTGTGAAGATCATTTGTTTCTCGCTGGCTTGCTTATTTTTTTGGAATTCAGCAGAGTCTGTCATGCTGACAATTAACATTGTATCTTTGTGGTGGAGAGCGTGCCAAGCCATTTACGAAACTTTGTTCTGCTTTTATTTCTGAAAATTTTCAAATTAATCAGCCATGTGTTGCTATTAAAATGCAACACTGTTTTGGTGGCGTTTGCCAGATATATATCCCAAAATTCTGCACCATTGTATCATTTATTATTATTATTATTATTCGAAATACCTCTTTTTATTCCCTTAGATATCTCTCGTTGCCATTGCAGATGCCTTTGACACCGAGCAGCTTCTTGCTTGTATGAAGAATTTAAAGCATGGGAAGGTTGTTGATATACCGAACTATGATTTTAAGACTCACAGGCGTGTTTTGCCTGCACGAAAGGTATGTTGGACTGTATTTATCGAGGATTATATCACAAGGCTTTCATTGTTGGGATTCATGATAAATTTTCGTTCATGTTCATCTATAACGAACTAGAGTTTTCTTATTTAATTTTGCTTCATTAAATTTTTATTGACTCTTCCTTGAAATGATTGTTAATTAATTTAATGAAATCCTTGCATCGTTTTCTCAGAGTTTTGCAGAAATAACATAGCATTACTTTTTGAACGAGAAAATAACGAGACTTGTGGAACATTGCTTCATTATGATTGCCGTCCATGTTACCTTATGACAATGCTAGAATTTTCTTATTTGATTTTCCTTAATTTCTTTCTGCCTAAAATTGATAATAAATCATGTCATGAATCCTCACTTTTTTCTCCGTGTTTTGGAGGAGAATGTCATTCCAGGAAGGAGTTCAACGGATTTCTGTCCGATTGTAACATTCTAGAGATTTAGTTTTTGCTCCATGCTCAATATTTAGTGCATCAATCATTTTATGGCATGTGATTCTACATGTCCTCCAGGGACTTAAAAAATATGACCTTTCTGTTTCGTTTCAATTTTCATTCCTTGGTTTCGACCAACAATTTTGCTTGCTTTTACGAATGTCAAATAATAAAACCATATATATCACGCTGCTTGACTGTCATATGCACAATTTTGCTTGTTTTTATATGCTTGACAGTCATGTATTTCAAGTTTGGCATGTCGTGTTGCCTTCTTCTGGAACAGGATAGCGGCTGATCCTTTAATTTCCTTGATGTACCAACAAATCTATTGTATTCTCAAATTGTTTCTTTTACTGGGTTTCCTCTGGCTAGTACTTCTTACGTGGTGCTATTCTGTTTGAATTCATCAGGTCAATCCCTCAGATGTCATCATCCTAGAAGGAATATTAGTCTTTCATGATACAAGAGTCCGTGGATTCATGAACATGAAGATCTTTGTTGATACAGGTCCAAGAATCTTCAATCACGAATAGTGCAATATTCTGATTCTTACTTTCACATGTTTAGGACAGTTTTTGTTACCCTATTCTTTGTTTCCTGTTCTATTTATCTTTTCTATTCTTTCTTAACTCTTATGGATGAATTGTTCTGTTTAAGATAGGCATTATTTTTGATGCCAGTAGAACTTGAAGAATAGGTATTTTTATGGTACATAACCCATATGATTTCGGAAAAAAAGACATTCAAATTCATCTGCTTTAGTTTTTATTTGATGCTTTCAGTGTTTGCATGATGGATAGTTTGACGCAGATGCTGATGTGCGCTTGGCAAGACGGATACAATGTGATACAGTTGTGAAGGGTCGAGATATCAAAACAGTTCTAGATCAGGTTAGTATACTGTTTAACGTCTAAATGCACGCCTTAACATGGATTCTAAGTTGTTTTCTTTCTATTTTATCAAAATCTCTATGATGGCTCTATGTCGTTTTATTTTTTCTTTGCTGTCATGAAACATGGATTATGCATTCAAGGTGACTTTATAAACCTGTTTTCCATTCATGCTTCATAGGTCCTTTTCTACATATGAAGGATCTAATAAGCTATTCTTCATGGGGGTCAAGAGTTTGAATGTTGGATCTCCCATGAGTTGGGCTGACTTCGAACCAAAACTGCTGTTCTAGCTCTGCCTGAAACAGGATGGTATACAATGTATAGGTACAATAAAAATTATTTAGAGGGATTATAAGTATGTTCATCATTCAATATATAAAGCTTAATGAATGTTTAACAAATTTGTATTGTAAGAATTGAATATCTTTAGTCATGCCCTCATTGTCGATAAACCAATGCACATTCTCCCTCCATGGCGTCAAGCGCTGGAATTTCAAAAGTACACACAATGAGAAGGTAAAGAAAGCTAGCAAAATGAGGCCAGGAAGTGATGAAGGATCCAGAGTAGGACACTAGAGAAAAAAGAAAAGAAAATACAAAAAATTAAAATAAAAAATAAGAAAAAAGTAAAGAAGAATGAGAGTTCACAGTTTCTGTCGAAGAAGCAGTGGCATTCAAAGAAGATGACATAGACAAGTGGCAGAGTATGGTGGTGGCAGGTAGAATCAGTGGTATCAGTGGTAGCCATTGTGACAATGATAATGGATGACAGTGACTATCAATGATATCCTGACTATCAATGGTAGGGATGGTTTATTATTACTTTTTGTCTTCTTCCTCGGCTGTGATCCTTTCCATTCTTCTTCCTTGGTACACTTCCTTGATAAATTTCCTCTGATATGACATATTTGGTATGAATAATTGGAAATTCATATTTTAGCCACTTGATTCAGTAGTCGTTCATTAACTGAAGCCATGTTCCTATCATCATTGGCAGTTTAGACGAGGATAGAACGTAGAATTAGACATTCCTATCCTTCTTTGTGGCTAGATGATCATGTAGAAGATATGAATCCTTGTCCGGTGCACTGACAGGTAACCAGAGCGCCCTTGGAGAGAAAAATCTATTCTTATTTGATAAAATAAAAACTCACTTACAAAGGAAACGAGGTCTTGTATTTATATCAGACCCTATAAGGTTCTAGATACACAGACACAGTCATATAACTAAAAGAAACGTAAGGTATACGAGAGAGTGTATTAGGCACATCCCGACAGCAGATCATTTACCGAAATGAACTCTTATGTTTCTCTACATTTTATCTTTTTTATTTAAATGTCAATCTTGTTTTTAAATCAGAATCATCTTGTGCAGTATTCGAAATTTGTGAAGCCTGCCTTTGAAGATTTCATACTTCCGACAAAAAAGTATGCCGATGTCATCATTCCCCATGGTGGTGATAATCATGTAGCAATTGACTTGATCGTGCGACATATTCACACAAAGCTCGGACAGCATAGTCTCTGTAAAATATATCCTAACCTTTACGTTCTTCAATCAACTTTTCAGGTAAACAATGCAATGTCATTTAAATGCTCCAGTGATATATTTTTGACCGAAATATGTGACAGGGTCCTTTGGATATCATGAAAAATATATGCTTGTTGTTTGACTATGTCTGCATGCATTTGCGCAGATCAGGGGCATGCATACACTTGTCCGTGATGCCAGCACTAGGAAGCACGATTTCATATTTTATGCTGATCGATTGATTCGACTAGTAAGTAGGTTATGGCAATTTTACCTTTGTTAAACAAAATGATGGCTAATCTGGTTATCAACAGGTAGTTGAGCACGGTCTTGGCCATCTTCCTTTCAAAGAAAAGCAGGTGATCACTCCAATAGGTAAGTTTCTTGTTGCATACGCTAGGTGATATCTAGGTCCATATAATATACGCCAATGCTTTATGTTACTAGTTGGTGGAAGAATAGGAAGCTTGTTGTTAGCTGGAGAGCTCGTAGTTCTAAGGTCATGAAAAATATCCTTCATTGCGTTTGTGATTATGTAGGTCAGATTCATATCACCCCATTATATCTTTTGGAATTGGATACATGATCTTGTGACGCAACATAGGAGGTTAGAGTCCAAATCCTAGTTTGGCGTTGCCATCGCCTAATTTTTCTTTGGACATTATGGTTGGAAATTCAGAAGCTTTCTATTAGATTAGTGGTCAAGGTTTACAGTACAAATATTAGTGGTATAAGATCAAGCAATCAGTAAGGACAAACAGCATTGGGGGAAAGTAGGATTAAGAATTTCCTGGCGCTGGTTGCACCTCCTGAGGCCCTGGAACCTCATCAAAATATACACGTTTTTCTGTTTGAAAATAGGCGGATCCTATAGTTCTTCCGTTAAATTCCTATGCTACAACAAAGAGGTGTTTTTATTGTTTTTTCTTTTAGTTGGCGCTGGAATTAAGGTCTTGGAACTGACTCTTGAAAAGTGTAGTCAAACTTTTGAATCGTGTTAATGATATTGAAAAACTTTTGGAATTTAGATCGGTATCATGTGATTCAAGGGAAGAGCAAGAAGGAAACAAGGTCATTTTTTTCTCTTTATCACTTCTCCCTCTCTAATACAAATACCCTAACTTAAGGGTTCTCTCCACATATTTTAGGGCCATCATAGGTGACTGAAAGAAATCGTATTGTTGTCATTTCATTAGCATTCCACCGAAGAGACACTGTCTTCTACGTTAATTCACGAGAGAATTGGATGTAAAACCACACACTTGTGTTAGTTACGAGGAGAGAATCGTGGATTAAGCGTAAAGTCAGGGACGTGAAATTGTATTGTTGCCATTTCATTACCTTTCCCCCGATAATCCTGCCATTTTGGAATAAACAAAGGAATGAAGAATTGAAAAAGGGCAAACAACTGATGCAGGAAAAGAATGTATCTGATTAGCTATAATAAAATGGCCATGGATAAGGTTTTTGAACTCTTTTTTTAGGGGAAAATCCTGATTAGGGAACATTCTGATTGTGAAGTATAAAAAAGCTACCGGTCTGAAGTGTTTAGGAATCAACTTCTGTCTGCAACCTATCTGTTTAGCGGATTAATCTCCCTGAAATCGGCAAGAAATTAGCCTATACAACTCAGGATGACTCAATGCAACACTGTCGAGTTGTCTGGAAAGCGTTAAGTGCTTGTCTGAATGACTTTTGCAGCTTGTAAATTAACTTTATGGATCTCTCAAGTACTATTTTGGAACAATCAAGAAAAAGGAATTTTTTAGTTTGTAGGTGAAACGTTACATGTAACATTGGATTTCTATTTCATAGTGCTGCTGGAGAATGATCCACAAAAATGACTTTGAATGCAGGTTCAGTTTACACTGGGGTGGAGTTCTGTAAAAGACTTTGTGGCATATCTGTGATTAGAAGGTATAAGCCATGTTTCTGTGTCTGCGTATGGTCTTTATTTGAGATTAAATTCGTATAGGGACACATTTGTGATTTTCCAATATTTTTATGTGTGATGGATATAGGGAATACATCTAATCTGAATTCTGTGAGTTTGTTGGCTCGGTTAGTCTATAGTAACAAATCACAGGAACCAATAAGCAAGGTAGTTTTGATTTTTGGTCCAACTTCCATGAATAATTTCTTTCATTTTTGCCAGTTGGTCTTTGTGAAATCTTACGTATTCAAATCTTCTTTATTTACTGTGAACCCGGAAGCCTTTTCTTCTAGGAACATTAAAAAATGACACTCATGAACGTTAAAATACAAATGATTTGTGAGGAATAGACATTAAATATATTTGGTGATTTTAATAAACGATAATCCCTTTAACATAATAGTAGTAGTAATAATAATGATTGACCTTCAGACTTGCCATCCAATAACGCTTTGTAAATAGAGTTTTTTTTGGTTCGAATAATCTTTGAATTTCAATTATGAGTCTAAGTTCTCTTTCTCTCGTAGTCCAATTTTTTTAGCGTTCAAATCTTTTATCCGGATTGAGCCAAGAACCTTGTCATCTTTTCCAAAAGTGGTCTTTGCATTTGAAAGTATCCAAAACCTTAGGTGCAAATGTGGCCAAGGGCGTGATGAATGAATTTATAATTGAAGATCATTGTATATGGTATATTTTAAATATATTTCTGTGTTAGTATGCTTAATTCTTTTTTGAATCAAGATTTATCACCAAAAATTTTCTTCGCTTTAATCATTTGAGATGAAAGGCAACTCAAAGTTCCACAAGTGATATTCCCCTTATATAATTGCAGTCTAACATTTATCCTACCGACAGTCCACTATTTTAATTTAGTAATATATTTTTAATGGTCTTTGAACATTTAGTAAGCGTATTAATAAGAAAATTTCTGTCACGTCTCGCTTAACAATTTTGGGAATGAGCGGTAGAAGATTCTTAATGGTTATTCTTCAAATTCTTTGATGATTATCTGTTTCTTGTTAATGAAAGGCACAAATCCCAGAGTTCTAGACTTATCTTTCTCAACAATGAATCAATCCAAGGACCGTCCATCGGTAAGTTTGTCAAATGAAGACTGAGTTTCAAAGCCCATGTATCATACATTGTAAAGTAAATGGGAAAAAGAGGTATAACGGTCCATGTTCTACCATAAATGGCACTGAAAAGCTTGGCACCTGATATGATAAAATGAATAACGAATGATGCAGCTATGAAGAAGTGTACTTATAAACTTAACACACCAACCTCAAGAACAATACTTATAATTAACGAACATATTTTCTTAAAGAAAGTGAGTTGGGGTTTAATAGCACCCATAGATAACTGCTCAGATCGCATATTCCTCGCATTCCAGATGGATCTAGTCTCTTAATGATCATCCTTAACAGTGTCATGCATCGATGATGATCTAGTATCAGTTAATTTTTTATGATTTTTTCACGTATGTATTGAAGTCATAGTGACAGAGTTATTGATGATAAACAGGCTACTGTATTTCCAAGCACAGAAAAAAGGATTGAATTAGACACTGTCATGGTAGTATTTATTTAGGATATTCCGTTTGGTGGCTGACAACTCTAATTGATTTTAATGCGTAGTTGTGCTTTGTGTGAGTGTAGTGATTGAACCATGAGATCAATGAGAGTATTAGAAACTGTGGACAACTTTATCGATTTATTTGCTCATGTTCTATATCTTGAAGCATCGACATAAATTTACTGAAACTTTACTATTTATTAATTTCTCCATTAGCAACATTTGTTGTAACATCTTCAACCGATATCAGCGGCGAAAGCATGGAGAATGCACTCCGAGCTTGCTGTAAAGGAATCAAGATCGGGAAGATTCTTATCCACAGAGAAGGAGACAATGGTCAGCAGGTTCGTCCAAGTCCCTGTTTTGTTTTTCTGATTTTCCTTGAATTACTTCTCTGACATTTTCCCCTCCAGTTGATCTATCATAACCTGCCTAAAGACATCTCAGATCGGCACGTCTTTCTCTTGGATCCAATACTGGGCACAGGTTAGTCTTTAGTCGTGATTTGTCTTAGAGGTAAACTGGCATCGGTGCATGAAGATATGCATCTCTTCTCGACTTTTGTGAAACTAGTTTTCAATTTAGCATCCTTTGGCATGAAACTTCCCAGGGCTTGAACTGTTACTTTACAGATTGATTGTAGCTGTGTAAGTATATGGCTGTATTCTTATATTTGGTTCATATCGAACTGCTAGTTGGAAGAAAATAATTACGTCGAATGTAACCTCTTTTCTCAGGCGTTGAGTTCTTAACATAACAGGCAAACACAGAATGTCACAAATATAATATTTTGAGTGCTTACAGAACGCAGGTGTATATCCTTGTCTCTTTTGGTTATTTAATGACTATGAGCTATCACCCACTCCACCCCCCCCCCCACCCCCCCCAAAAGAAAATAGTAAAATAATAATAATAATAAAAGATGCTCTTTGGAAATCATTGATTGCGTGATCTTTCATCATAGTACCATTTTACTTTAAAGCAAATGTTATGTGCTAATGCTTTAGTTCGAAAAATAGTTGTTGGATATTGATCATCCAGATAGAGACGACTCTCAGCTACTTTTTTAGGCTATTGCTGCTCAAGAATTCAGGAACCTTCTATCTTTATTTTACTGATAAATGAATGTTGCATATTTGCCAAATTTATGAATCCATAAATATATCCTTGATTTTTTCTGAACTTCTGGACAATTTCATAATTTTTTACGCTCTTTATCACTGGCCTACTTCCGTGCTGTAACTTTTTCGGTGCGTATAATTTTCAACAAAAAACTCCGTTTACTGGTAATGCTCTAGTACGCCAGCATCAACATTGCTCTCGACCTTTAATTCTGCAGTGTCTTAGAAAATTCTCCAGTCTTGATTAATCATTGACCTTTGTTTATTCAAGTTGCTGTCACGATAAGTTTGGGTCTTTTACAGGAAATTCAGCCGTCCAAGCTATTTCTTTGCTCATATCAAAAGGCGTTCAAGAAGCCAAGATTATATTTCTAAACCTAATTTCTGTAAGTCAAGTCCCCTTCTGCACATCCTTTTTGTTTCCAACGCCGCTTAGATAAATAATACCTCACATGGCCACTGTTAAAAAGAGATCCTAGTCTTTATTATAAAAGGACATTGAGATGATTATTTTCCTATGTCATATCGAGCCATGGTCAACAGGATCAGTGTTGAATCACGTTCATCTCTTCCGCATGGGTCCTATTGGATCGATATGTGGGACATCTAGGTAAATATCTTTTTTACCTCAGTACTCACAAGCACAGACAGCACTGAGGATGACCAACCTCTGGATAGTGGGCACACTGAAAGTGGGTTCTCGTCACAGGATGCCCACTCCATACCTCGATTGAACCACAACTTTTACTCCCTTGGCCTCTCCATCCCTTGAAGTCTGTGTCATGCGCAAGAGGCACGTTTATAATCAGGAAAGTTTGGCATTAAGTGCCTTCCTTACCTCAAAAGGCTAGGGAAATTGGCATCAATTAACTACGATTATGGCCTGATTTCTGATGTTCTCTATTTGGGATTCATTAGTTTTCTTCTCTTAAAGGGAGGTGATCAGAACACGGGATTACATATGTGAGATGACCCATGTAAGAACTTAGACTGACAGCACCTCCATATTTGCTATTCCAAGTATTTTTTTTTAATACCTGTATATGTTGATGTTCATATATTAGGCAACCATGGGTCTGCAATATATTTCATCAATTAACTGAAGTAATTAATTTCTGTACAACTTTTTCATCTACTTTCTGGCTTATCTCCCTCGCTTTTATGTTCTACCTGACCGGAGAAAACAAATTAATACCTGACGATAAGATAATTGATTGTTTATTTATTTTTGAATGCCTAGGCTCCACAAGGGGTTCACGCAGTCTGCAAACGATTCCCGAGGATTAAAATCGTGACGTCAGAAATAGAAAGTGGCTTGAACGAGGAATTCAGAGTGTTTCCCGGAATGGGTGAGTTTGGTGATCGCTATTTCGGTACGGATCAAGATTAGGACCCAACGATATATAACGTGGAGGCATCAACCCACGTAAGTTCCTTTCTCTATTCGATATATTTTGTGTTGAAATCCGTGCACAGAAGGAATAAAATATCGAGTATTGTCCCCCTTAAATCTCTCAAGAAATAGAGAATCCTTTTCCCCATAGCATTATGCAAAGCACAGGAGACTCCATCCGTAATTTTTACTTGAAGAAGAAACCTCTGCTTCTGAGCTCGCTGAGACATCACAGAATACTCCACGTCCTAGACACCGCATTAGCCTCCCAACCCCGCTGGATGTCTTTCTTCTCAGAAGTTCATCATCTCTTTTCATGAGACTGATCATCCAGTCTAGAAACACCTCTGTGTGTGTGTGTGTGTGTGCGTCTCTCTCTCTCTCTCTCTCTCTCTCTCTCTCTCTCTCTCTCTCGCTATAAACATATATATATATATATATATATATGTTTATATCTAGTCATTAATCTTACTGTCTTAGGGGTACTCCTTCCATTTAGATTTATCTGTAGGAATTAACTGGAAAATCACGTCCAAGACTCCCTGACACTTGGCATATTCAAGCACCAAGAAAGACGCTTAAATCCGATTTGTTTCTTTTTTTTTTCTTTTCTTCATGCAGGGACAGCTGGTATTTTCATGTGTAAATGTCTCTTATTCTCTTGGCGGCGACATTTGTTCACATTTTTTCAGGCTGCACTCGAGCAGAGTTTGTTCTCATTTTTATTCCATTATTCCATTAAAATATGTCGCAACAATAAATTCCTTGTAATTCATTATTATTTTTGGGCTAATTAATGCAGCTTGAGATCATTGAAAATAAATTTCAATTATTTCAATCTTATCCAATTTCTTGCATCAAAATTTCTGCTGACTCCTCAAAGGGTGACAGAAGTTGGGTTGGGCTTGTGCTTGGACATATAGTATGAACACCAAAAGCTGATGATTTTGGACACTTAGTGTTGAACACCTATTGCTTTGCTCTGAGCGCCAGAACTGAAGTCAGCTGGTTTTATTTCAAGCATTTGTGAACCACACAACCTACATGATGCATATATTATAGATATATAGAAATCACCTTATACTTAACATTCTTCTATAGCAACATTGTTCTACTGTTTTTGCAAACATGTGCTTCAGATTTTTAACTCTCAAGCCACTAATTGCTTTTTTGGTACACATCACTTAAATGATAACATTGGTTTTTTTTGAAAGTTTAGTTGTGGGGTGAAGTTTACTAGGTCACGTATGTAAGGTTACTATTATGATGATCAAAAATCTTGTTAACTTATTCAACAGTTAAAAAAGGCACATATATATATATACATATATATGCATGTAACAATTGTTCTACACTTAATTTTGTCTTTGAGAATGATGTTCAAGGATTTTTGCATGGTCCACATTCCAACATTGAAAGAAACCATTATTAGTGTTACAGTACATGGAATATTTGACATAATCTTGGGATGCTGATGGAAAGGAAATAAGTTAGGTGATTGATGAAACTTATCAGACAATTTATGCAAGATCATTATTTTGGTTACATTGATGCTTGCCAACTTTTCAATATACATGTAGATAATTGCTCTTCTAGAGATGAACCTCATCATCATGTTGCATTGGGTTCAAAGACTCGCTTATTTTCTCATATGATCTTTTAAAGGCAACACATAATATACTTGAAGTGGCAAGCGTGTCCTATATTGACCGGTTGACATAGCATGAGTATTATTAGGTTAGAAGCCACAGAAGGACCTATGTTTAATTGTGTGAGACTATTAGCAAGAGGTACAAAACATTACATTGTAGTCATTAAAAGGAAGTTAAGAACCCATCTCCTTCTTCTAGTGTGTACGAGGTTGACATCTGGTGCCATGCATCTTCCCATGTTGTGTTGCAAATAATGCCTACACCACAGACAAATTTCTGATGGAAATGTCTTTAGTAATATCACAATCTATTTTATGAGCCATATACTAGCAGCTAATATTAGTTAAATTCACATGGGCAGGGAACATATAACAACCCTCTTGAAGCAATCAATTGATAATTTGGTTGCGGTGATGTTACGATGAAATTGTGCTTGGAGCATGTTTTGATTTGATAATAAATCATACTTTATTGTCAAAAGCAAACATAGAAAGCATAGAAAGCTGAGCTCCATAGAGTTTACAGTGGGGATGAGGACATAGGATTTTAAAAGTGGAGTTTATCATATGGCATAAGTGGGTTTTGTATCCTCATTCATTCAATTCAATCATGATGATTGGATACGTTATTGGAATATTTCATGATACATAGTGCATAAAAGTCAAGTAGAGCTTTGATGCAGGTGCCAAAATATAAGTTACTGATAATAGCAGTTTGAAAATTTGAAATATTAATGTTTTTTTATAGTTTGTCTGTAGTAATTGGGATGCCAAAAATAATTCCAATAGAAAGGACAATACCACACCCTTGTGAACCACATTCCTACTGCCTAGTGTGCATCTGGGGATTCCTTGAAGAGTTTGTCTCCCATCGAAAACAGACAATGGTCCACTTCAACAAAGACATTCTGATGTTCTAAGGAAATTTATTTATGATCACCATCTTCAGCGAAAAGGGCAGCATGTATAGCACATTTATAGATTGTCATTTGATAGCCATGCTATAAAATTAAAAGCTATTAAAAATATAAAATAATGGTTAAAGGGGTAAAAGAGTCTTTTGTTCTTCATTACTATTGTTGAGTAATCAGATGGAAATATATTTCTTTACTAAAATTAATCTAGGAAATATTAGTTAAACATCGGCATATGGGATTGTCAAATCTGTAAGTCTTCAATATTTTAATCTTCCCAAACTATGTAACGTACCTATCTCGACAAGATCTTCTTATGAATAGTAACTATTTGATTTCTTGTATTAAACTGGTGGAGGGAGAGGTGGTTTGCCTGAGACTCCTTTTCTTTGCCTGTGCAGAAAATATTTGTAGGTTAGAATATGATAACTTCTATTATGAGAACAACAGACATTATCAAGAGGGAACATATAATTTATACCCAAGAAGATTTAGGCTTAAAATGGCTTGATATTGTCCAGGAGTCTCCATCAATGCTTCCAATGCAAACTTTGCCTCTTTTCCTTGGTTTGTGTTTTCTTGCATTATCTCTGTGAAGTCTACAAACTGTATGAAATAGTAAATGTTTATAGGTTTTCTCGAGTTATATGAATAATTGGGACAATGGTTTAAGTTTAGATGGAGTATAACCTGAAAATTATCAAAAGTACGAGCGGGCACGAAGTCATCAAACATCTTCATTGTTTCCCAAGGGCCATCCCCCACGCCAACACAAACAATGGACAATGGATATTCACTACAAGAATCATATATATCATACTAGGAAAAAAAATACATAATTTTTTGAGTACATAATTTTTTGAGCAAAGATTTGATTGAGAAGTGGTGCTAACAATCATAACATCAAAGGAACATGGAATTTATTAAGGATAAAAGGAATATATAGACAACTAAAGAATGAATAAATTGACAACAGATTCAACAATATACATATTAAAACATAGTCTAAGATTCAAATCTTCCAGTTATTTCAGAAATTTAAATTAGTTCAAGTCTAATTTTTTCATAAATGTGCACCTTGCTTTCACTAAGGCATTGATAGTTTTGGTTTCTTGCAAACTAAACTTCCCATGTGGTATTTCATCGCTTCGTGTGACCTTTCAACACAAATATAGGAAAATTCTATCAAAATAAAAAAATATCAAAACATGCAGTGCAAAAAATCAACAGTATAAGCTAACTAATCATGCATGGCCAATTTCTCACCTGCCCATCGGCAATTATCAGTAATACATGATATCTACCTCCACTCTTATCTACGATATTGATGGCGGTCTCAATGATTGGTGCAAATGATGTTGGCCCTGTAAAAATCAACGTCACACTTGAAAATCAGTCAAAGGGTTATGAATAAGTAGTAGGTGTCAAGATTATGTAGTATATTTACCAGATAGCCTAACACGTGGAGCTATCTCCCTATATACTCTCAGCACTTCCTCAAAGCCCTTGCAAGGCTTGTCATCAGGGAGAAAACTAAAGACATCTTCATCATGTGTGGTCACTGCGCATAATTAATTTACTCTTTTTAAGCTATTAAGTGACTCAAAACTACTGAATAAACGGCGGATCATACAAAGTTATTCTGTCAGTTAGGTTAAATTACTCACCATCACCAAAACCATAGCAGGGTATCAGATCATCCTCGTCGAATCCAGAGAGGGTCTGTCCAATGATAGATATCGCTTGTTCGTATGGATTCAGAGTAGGATGATCAAGGTCATGCAAGCTCTTTCCCTCGAAGGATTTCTCCCCTGCATGAGCATGTGCTTTCAGAAGAAAAAAAATGAAGACATGGTGTAATAAAGGCTTTACTTAGTAGCCTCTCTGTGCTTTGTCTATAAGAATGGCATAACTACATAAGAATTCAGCAGGCATTCTATTTAGTCAACCTTCAGATGACGATATATTTTCCAGGATAATGGAATTCAAGAACAAACCTGTCCATTCATTAGATTTTGTAAAGTCAACCGCTATAATGAGGTTTGACGATTCAAGACCTGCGTTTCTAAGCGCTTCCTTGACCTAGAGCAAAGAGGAAGGCATAAAGTCAACGTCAGGTAAACCGGCGAAATTGAGACCACTGAAAAAAGATAAGACAGCCCACCGGGGATATAGTTGGATGGGGGAAAATATATACGTAGATTTATGGGGACTAATTAGGTACAATTTGGTGACCCATGGCAGTGAACAGATCTATGTTGATCCTCTGGATAGCCTTCCCTCCCTTGGTTGCTGTCTCACCTGTTCGATAGAGTCGTAGTTATCGTCGATCCTCGCGTACCGCTTCGACTTTTCGGTTCTTTTCCGTCTGCGCAGGTGCCAGAGACCCTGCGGCAGGTATCTCATTCGATCGAATCACTGTTTTCCTCATAAACCAGGCGAAAGGAAGATAAAAAACCGCATGGCGAGAGAGAGGGGGGGGGGGGAGAGAGAGAGAGAGTGTGTTCACCTGGTTCTGTGCATGCTTCGATTGTTTTCCTCCCATGAGTTCTTTGAGAATCTCTAAAGTTACCTTCAGATTCTGTGGCTTTCCAGCCTGAGAAAAGACATGAGATTCTTCTTTGGTCACTTTATGAAGGAAAAGACCTCTCTTCCTACACTTCAGGGAATGAAAGAGAAAGTTGAGGCCTAGTTGGCTCAGAGGAAGAAGTGAGGGAGAAGAGAAACAAGGGCGGGAACCCTTGAAACGATTGAAGGAGAAAGGAAGCGAAGGCAATAAAGGGATCTTGGAGAGAGAAAGATGGGAGGAATGAGGTTCTCCTTCGCTCTATCTGATTTCATGAGAGAGAGAGCGAGAGAGAGAGAGAGAGAGAGAGAGAGAGAGAGAGTATAGTGAGAATATGAAAACGACGATATAATATAAAATGAAATAATTCATCACATTGAAAATATCTTGAAGACCAAATTGGACGTGGAAGAAAAGTCTTAGGAGGTTGGAAGCTTCCGGAATCATTATTTCACGCGGAAACAGCTCATTGATATCTCGCCCAGCACAAGAAAATTACGAAATTGGAATAATTCCTGTCTTTATAGATGTGAACCCTTGAAAAAATACGCACAAAAAAATTTGACATTTAGTGACCGATGGCTCATAATAACAGCTGCGTATGGTCCTGAAAGGCAATCATTCATTTGACTGAACATCAAAAGTAAGTTATTGAATTATTAGCGACAAATTCCCAAGGAAAGAGGGAGACAGAGAGAGAGAGAGAGAGAGAGAGAGGGAGGAGAGATGATGGGCTTTCACATTGTTGATTGTGTGACGACCAGGTGGTGAGAAGAAATGGACTGGAGTCTGCCGACAGACCCTGATTGTGCAACAGTCCGTCAAGATAGCAGCTGTGCCAGCTTGATTCGGGGTTATTTCTTATACTCGACATGATTTCAGGTCGTGTGTCGAAGAAGAAGGAGATTATTTGAGCCGGACTCTGGGCTTAGCTCATGGAGCCAGCATAATTTTATGTCTTCGTATCCCAACAGAGCACTGCAGCACCTGAAGACCTTTGAAACGATTTCAACTCCCGGGACTTGTCTCATTTTGCCGCCATGTTCTTCCCAGTTTTGGTAACATCTTAAGGTGAACGCTGGTATAGTTTTCTGTTCAGCCTAGCAAGACGAATCTCGACTCAGTCTCCGGTCTCTGGAACCAGTCCTGAGTGCGTCGCGTTGAGAGTGGTTTGTTCCTTCTCTCCACATGCTAACCTCTTCAACGCCGTCCACGCTATCCCTTTACATGTCGCCATCGTACCTACTCTTGACCGATTTTATCTTTTATTCTTTCTCTCCTCAAGTTGTACTAAATTATCGCTATAGACGAGCACAGTGACATCAAAGAATGTTAATTTCCTTTTGGGTCCTGAGTAAATAGCCTTATAAAAAGGATTTGGGCTGAAACCCTTGGAATTAAGGGTGGACCTGATGGAGAGAGAGAGAGAGAGAGAGAGAGAGAGAGAGAGAGAGGGAGAGGGAGAGGAGCTCATGCAAAAAGCACAAGAATAATTTAAGATGGGTTTAAAACTCAAAACTGATCCTAAGCCCAGATCTCCTTTGATAGGGAACCCGTCAGACCACGCAAATCCTCTCATTCTGTGCTTGATTTTGAAATCGAAGCCATGGAAAGAAGTGTCCGGCTATTGGCGGGTCTCCAGGTTTGGCTCGAATTCGGTTCATTCTTCGTAATAAAAAAAAGAATAAAATTTTAGAACTCTTACATTTCAGACATTTCCCTCTCATGAGAACATTTTTTTGGACAAACTTTCAACATTAGGGGGGGTGTATCATATTTCCGATAACAAACTTTCAAAATTACAATCTAAATCTTATTTTGCTCATTGCAGCTTTCAGTATCAATACTAATACAATAGTCTCATCGGTGCAACCTTTTTAAAAATCGGTCCTTTAACAGTCTCATCCCTGTCACTCAAAACTTTTCACAATTAACTAAAACTTGGTTATGAGGGTATAATAGTTATCAAACAATTTAAAGTCTCTTCCACTACTAAACAATTGTGGTGACAAAGATCAATCAGACTTGAGATGAAAATTAGAGGCCTTTCTAAATACCATGGATGTATACTCATTTGTTTGCCCTCAAGCCAATCTTGCTTATTTGGAAAAATCCTGTACAATGGAAAAATAGTGATTTATTATCATCATAAATTTTTTAAATAGTATACCAAACTACTGTTCCATTTTTTAGAGATTTTTGAGGAAAAAAATGGGGATTAAATACTTACTTTTTTTTCACCTTCTGTTCTTCAAGGAAAAATAGTAGCCTTAATTACTACACAAATCATAAGCTAACATTAAGCTTTGAAAAATATGAAATTAAGTATTTAAAAATAAATAAATTGAAGCATGATTTCTCAACCTGTCATCAGAAAAAAGTAATGTTTTGTTAGGGCATTCATTAAAGACAACTTTCAACACTAGGCTCACTCATGATTCTACATTCAAGGCACCAAATCAACACTCCTCAAGAAGTTATGCTTTTCAGAATTTGAAGATTATTATCAATATATTTTTGGTCAAGATTCCTAAGAGTAGGTAGCTACCTTTTGAAGTGCTTGACATGCAAATGAGTATTTTAAGGCTTTCAGAATAAAATAAATGAAGGTAGATGGACAAGCTGGCATTCAATTTCTATTGGGCCAATATGAAGTTGTGAGTCTAGAGATGACAACTAATACTTTAATGTTGATTGTGGTGGCTAATTTATGGTGCTGATATTTTATGACAAGATGTTCCCTTATGACTTATACAATATTATAGAGTGCAAGTGTTGAATGGTGTAAATTTATTTCTACCTTGATGTGCAGAAGTTATTTTCTACGGTAGCACTATTATAATCTTACATTTTTATCATTATGTCATAAAAAAAACCCACCCTTTACAATGCATTATAAGTAAATCCCTTATGGGGCAATACATGCCAATATTTTTATCAAATCATTGACTTTAGAAGACTTATAAGGAATGGAGTATTTTTTTTTTAATAATTTCATTATTAGATAATTAATTTGTCACCAAAAAATGAAACGTAAAGAAAAATTGGTTGAGTGGTCATGAATATTTACATCATTTTTCAAAAAAATCTGTCAAAAAGGTAATGAATAATCCATAACTTTTTTGTGACTCATGAATTTTACTATTGAACACAATCTAAAAAGAATTTTTGTAACTGATGAATTTTACTAGACAATGTGCTCATGGTTCTAGAATTTTTCAGAAAAGTTTTTGAATGATAAGTTTGCATAAGCTGTTGAGTCCTAACCTTTGGTTTAGGATTAATAATTCAAAAATCTCCATATAATTTTAGTCTTCCTTTATCTTTGATTTACTTGTGCAATCATTGTTACTTCAAATCTAATTGCATCTCATCTATTAAATTCTATTTTTATTTATTCTCATCTTGAACTATTATTGATTATTCAAATGGATGAGATAAATGTTTTGACTATACCAAAAGGAATAAGACACTTGTATTCATGCATCTAGTGTATTAACAATACTATTAGTATGTGTCCTTGCCTAAAAAAGTCGTTCAATTGAACTAATGTTAACATACAGTTTGCAGAGCATCATGGACTCCTTATTCATATTGTAGTCATGGCACAGCCTTTGTTAATGACCTTTTTCCATATGATTTCAAACTAATGTACTCTGACTAGCTCTCATTCTAAGTTTATGTTGATTGGCATGAAGTCATCCTATTGATTCATTTTAAGTCTAATATTAAACATAGACCAAATAACTAGATTACATCACTATATTAAATTAATATTATTTGTGGTCAGTTCTTAATTTTTTTATCCTACAACCAAATCCAAGTGTGGCTTCATATATTTGAACAAGTAGATAAATTTGCATTAAAGAATTTTTCGTATTTTTTATTTTAATATGTGATAAGAATTAGGCAATGTTTTGTGTTGTCTTTCAAGAAATATAGGCAAAGGCATCATTAAACCTTTAGTTTGCGTGACCATGAACTGGATTCTAAATAAGATATAATTAATATAGTAACTATATTTTTTACGATTTATAAAAAACATTGAATGATTGACATGTTTAAGTTTTAATTTATCAACCTTGTAAGGTTTTGGAGAAAGTATTCAAGATTTACATATATTTCTTAATTTTGTAGTGTGGGTTCTATGTAATTGTATAATATTGGCTTATGGAGACAATATTATTTGGAAAATAAAAAATATATGCATATATATTCCTTACTACTTAAAAATTCAATCCCCTCTATCATATATAACCCATTTGAGATTGATGCTTAGTCATCATCTAATATGAATTGATTGATTAAGCTACTAGTGTTTTAACCCATTTGAGATTTCAAACGACTAATTAAGATGAAGCAACATACATGCATTAAATGAGGCCATATATATTGTTTAGTTTGTTGAGATATATAGATTGATTATAGTATTCCATTTATATCATTAATAGTGTTTATAATTTAGTAAAAAAATTAGCATTTACATTTTTTTATGGCAAAAATGAAGGATGTTTAGTTGAAAGTGTCTACATTTTCAAAAATGAAGGTCTCTTTCCCTTACTCTACTGTCGTGAAAACAAGGAATAATACTTTTAGTTAGAAGTTACATGAAAATAGGGTTCAAACATTTTGTGCACACTAAGCTTTAATAATATTCTTACACGACTAATGCACAAATGTGTCGTAAATAACTTTAGTTTTTCATAATTAAGTTAGTTTAAATCACTGAAACTTTTCTGGTCGTAATCATTCTCAAATATGATGCTGGACACATTGTAGTGAGTTATTGAAGGGGTTTTATAGTTATTAGTCATGTTCAAAGACTACCTGATAGTGATTTTTCTTTAATATGTAAAGTAAACATAGTAGATGATGTTGGTGCTCTTGGTTTTGATGATTACAAATAAAAATTTACTATCTCATAATAATAATGATTTATATACTTAACTTATATGATTTAAATAATATTCAACAAACTCAGCCCATTATTTTTTTGTTAAATGATTTTGAGTTTAATTCTAATAATTAAATGTAAGGTGTTAATTCTCGATGTTAGATTATTTTGTTATCTTAAGAATGTATGATAATAGAAATTATAAATTGAAGATAGATAAAAACTGAATATTAAGTATTTTATTTTTTATGAATCCAAACACAGTTCTTGTGTTAACACAACCACAAAAGTGAAACATTTTTTTAGATTATATTTATAATTATCTAATTGTTATGCTATAGTATCTGTTTGCTGTAAATTATTTTCACATGATACTAGATATGTATTCAAGTTTTTATGAGTTTCAAATCAAGATGAAAATAAAAAATAAATTGAAGAACTATTTTAGAAAGTTTATCTCAATGATTACACATCAGAAAAATATGTGGACTAAAAATGAAAGAAAATCTGATGATTTGCAGCTGGTGTAAATGTCAAGTAATTTTCATCAAGTTAGTAAGCTCCAATTCAAATTTTTATTTCAAATGACCATAAGAATAAGGAGAATTGAAGATTAGAAGGTCAAAATACAATAACCATGTACTCTAAAAAATGATAATAGTTTAAACAAGCATCTTAGATTGGTAGGAAATTCGAGAAAAATGAGAAATAAGTACATAATGAAGGCCTATTACACCAAATAAGAGTTATGGACTGAAAATAGAAATAAATATTAAGACGTTCAAAAGTCCTTATCCAGATCTTCTCAATATGCATCAATGGAAAATCAAAAATTAATGTTCTTCGTTAACTTTATCCAATGATCAAAGAACTCAAGTACAATTGATGTTCTTGATCATGTCCTAGGATAATGGGTGGTGAAGGGAGAGTAGATTTAGTGAAGGCATGTGGTGTTTGTTGATGTGTTTGGCCCAAGAGGGGTTAGTCTCCATGGAGATGACTTTGTGAGATTTAGACATTAAATTATATTATTATGTTTATTAAATCAGTAAAAAAAAAAGGGAAAAGATTAGAGATAGATGTTTGAGAAAGAACATTTTGACAATAGTACATCTGGTACTAGCTTGATAAAAAGTAAATAAAAACATGATGATCTAGATCTGATGTGGACATATAGCCATTTTCTATTAAGTAAGAAAGTTTTAGTTCAAATTGGAACAAAAATGACTAGTACAAGGCGAAGGCTTACTTATTAGAGAAGAGTTTGGAATAAGGAATATCAAATGCATGAAGATCTAATACTCATTATCAAACTCTTATGGCGCATGCATCAATGATAAATGGCAAAACTTCATCCTATCCATTCTCCTAGAGTAAATGGGTGGAGAAGTTAGAGTGTATTTGGCAAATACACAAATTTCTGGTAGTTATATTTGGCTAGAGAGGGTCTAGGTATAGGTGGAGATGAACTTGTGTGATTTAGGCAATTGATCCTATTAAACTCAATATGTATTCTTAATATGAATGGTAAATGCTAGAGGATAATTTTATTTGGCACTTGAAGTAGACTGATTAGAAGCAATGTGTGTTGACACTTCCATCAACAAATAAACATGTTTGAATAGAAATTGAACATAAATTTGAAAACTAAGTATTTTTTTTTGAAATATCAGTTCACCGCCCTCTTAATGTTTTATCTAGTCTAACAAAATAAACACTAAGGAAAGATGTTATGATAAAAGGAAATAGATAATAATAAGTATATACACATGCTTATTATTAGACATAAGGTTCATTTCATGTTGTTACGTCTCAACGAAAATATTATAACATGATGCAACAAGAGGTGTAATATGGTAGCAAGGTCTAATGAACTAGTATAATTTTGAGCCATGACTCAAGATATTCATGATTTTTTGTGGGTGAAGATTTTTTGTGAGCCATGACTCAAGAGCAATAGTGTAATGATATTTTTCTATGATGACAAATCTATGATCAACATAGTACACAATTTAGTTTAACATGATAGAATGAAAAATATTGAGATTGATCAACACTTCATCAAGAAAAAACTGAAAGTGTCATGTATGAGTTAATACATAATTAGCTTGTGCATATATTTATTAAGGGTTTAAATAATAATGTTTAACACCCTATATCCAAGTTGGAAATAGATGACTTGGATTTACAAGCATTATGGGGATTGTCAGACTATCATACATTTTTTATTTTTCTAATTATTATGGACTGAAAATAGACTGATCTTGTTTGTCATGTTTTAGGGAGCTGATATAAATATCAACCCCAATCTAAATCTTAAATTTTAGAGAATGAGAAAATAAGGGTTCATCTATTTTCTCCCATTTCATTCTTTGTATACCATTAGAGATCAAGGAAAAAGGACAATTATGCCACATTAGTGAGGAAAAACAACCTCATGAATCAGGCATAACTTGCATAACTCATACAAAGGTATATAGTCTTTTGTTTATTCCATGGGTCTCTCTATGAGAAATATCATGCCCCATAATAATTGAACAACTCATCTTTGTTGGACATTAAATATTTGCTTTGAATGATCATTTCATTCAACCTCAATAGTCTACAAATGGTCATAGGGATTCATCATAACATTTACCTATCATGATTGGTGTGAGCCTTTTAACACATTTCCTCAAACTTATGATCTACTTTATTCCAACAATCTCTTATGAAATCTCACTCAACTGTACATAATAGATAATGATACCTTAAAATCACTTCTTCTCTATTATTGTTTGCAGTCTTTGATGGTCTTGAGCTTGTCTAATTGCATGTTCTTATTGGTGGATAATTTTTGGTCTTATCTAAGGAAACATTTTTCTCTCATTCCCAAGGGAGATGTGCTTGATGTGCCATTAGAATGCCATGATGTCAATGTAATCATATAATTTACTACTAAAATAGTCATTTAACAAAGTGACACACTAGATATGGATTATTTTCCACATGTTAAAATATACAAATAATGTGTCAATGTAATTATCTTCGGTAAATTTATTCATGACACATGTGATTGGATAATTGCACCCTGGGTTCTGTTGACATGGTTACAAGCATCCTCTTTTGTATCATTGCCCACCTCATCCAAATGAGTCCTAATGGTACACTCTGGTTTGACCCAACTTTTGGGTCAAACCATCGTCTCAAATGGATGAGGTGGGATTGTTGGGTTTTGGCCCAATACCATGGGGTGGGCTTGCACTTGGCTATATGGATGCACAATTTTGGCCCAGTTAAGGGATTGCATTGACTATGGTCCTGGCCCATTTAAGAACCTGTAGATTTCCTTCATGGGCGGGAGTCACTTCTCCATCCCCTGTTCCCAAGCCGATCCCTGTACAGAATAGATTCCAAGAATCCAGTTTTTACAGAGCCATAATCCGTTCGGAACAGATTGTGGCGTAGGTTTCAGTGCCCCTTCCAGGTCGCAAGAACCTCCTGGAAGATCTCAGCGATGAGCTCCCTGTCGGCGGTCAGCAGGAAGGCGTTGAAGTCGTTTTGGAGGTCGCAAATCCTGCCAAAGTTGACCAGATACCTCATACAGGAGCCCTTCAGCACCGGCAGCCCGTAGAGGTGGGCGATCTGCAGCCTCTCCAGCACGTTATCGCCGGCGATGTCGCCGGCGAGGCTCTCCTCGCAGGCCTCCCGGAGGTCGCCAACGTCGTACTTGTCCGCCGCCCGGAGGAGCGGGAGGCGGTGGGCGAGGAATTCCGCCGCCGGTACGCCGCCGTAGAGGTAGCGGAGGAACGCGGAGCATGCGGCGGCGGACATGTCGGCGATATCCACGGCGGAGAGCTCCTTCTCCTTGAGGTCGTGAGAGAACATGCTGCGGAAGACCGGCGACCTGGCGGCGAGAATGGCGCGGTGGGCGCCGACGCTGCCGTCGCCGGCGTTGATGGTGACATCTGTGTTGATGCCGTCGGCGAGCATCCTCCCCAGGGAGGAGAGAGCGGTTGCCGCCGCCGCTTCCGGCCTGTGATCGCCGGACCAGACGGAGCAAAGTTCGCCGCCGCCCTGCAAATCGGCGTGACGCACAAACCTCTGAGCTTGTTTTACGGATGGAGGAAGAGGAGGAGGAGGAGGAGGAGGAGGAGGAGGAGGAGGAGGAGGAGGAGGAGGAGAAGGGGAGGTGCTCACCGGCTGCGGCGCCACCGCCTTCAGGTCGAGGAACTCGACGTCGATGGTGAACTTCCCGGTGAACATGGTGTCGATCGCCCACACGAAGTCATCGCTGCTTTTGATCTGCCTGTCGCGGACCTCTGAGGATTTGAAGGTGTGAGAGAATCGGATCATTCACTTAAAAAAGATTCGAACTTTTAGAAAATATTCAAGTTCTTCCCAATAGATAGTCGGGGATGATTACTATCGATAGACGACAATTAGGTCAAAACCATGTGCGAAAGCGCCGCGTTTGTCTCCTTGCGATCGAAGTCAACGAGATATGACGGAGGGGGGGGGGTTACCAGGGTGGACGATGTGGCGGCGCCGCCCGGCGGCGCAGACGACCCGGATGAGGAAGGAGGCGACGGGGGGGCGCTCTCTGGAGAGGCTCGACGACTCCGGGAACAGCTTGATGAAAACCTGCTTGTTCTTCTCCACGGTGAGGTACCTGTCGCCGGAGTTGGAATTTCAGGTCCCCCGGAAAAGATCGCCGAGAGCTTTCTTTGAGGAGGAGGAGGAGGAGAAGAAGAAAGAGAAGGAGGAGGAGGAAGAGGAGGAGGAGGAGAAGGAGGAGGAGGAAGAAGAGGAGGGAGAGAGAGGGACCAGTTCCAGGGGCCGATTCGGAAGGGATCGGACTTGCGGTAAGTGCAGGAGGAGAGGCTGTCGATGCGCCATTGGGCGAGTCGAGAGGCGGTCTCGACTCGGTAGGCCGACTCGGTCATCCTCCCCGACGACGGCGACAGCGCCGCCGTGATCTCATGGAGGCACTCCAGCAGGCGCTCCCCCGACTTTCCCAGGTTGACGGCCGCCGCCGGCGATCCCTACCATGGAACTGCAGCAGGGCCTTCCTCCTCTGAGAGAAATGTGCACAATCGAGGAAGAAATCAACTGAGGGGAGAAGAGTATAGCTCTAGAGAGAGAGAGAGAGAGAGAGAGAGAGAGAGAGAGAGAGCATGGGCTGTCGAAGTAGCTCATCGGAGAAGCTTTAAAAACCTGCCTGATTCCTGACCAGTCTCTCCCTGCAAGAAAGGGAGAGGCTTCTTGTGTTGCTTCCACGCCATTCTCTCTCTCTCTCTCTCTCTCTCTCGCTCATGTTTTACATCAAGCTGCACGCAGGATGATGCAGTGGGGAGAGGGCACGTGGGAGGCTGAGGCGACCGCTAAAGCATTCGATCTCGTCTTGGGCTTGGCCTCAACCATTCGCTTTGATACTTTCTCAAACGGGCCGGGCCTTGTTCCCCGGCCCTACTTTCATTGGGCTCAACTCAGATATTGGGGGATAAGGCTGGAAAGTATGAGGAAGACAGATAGATAGATAGATAGATAGATAGACATATGGATATGGAGCGTGAGCGAGAGCGAGAGAGAGAGAGAGAGAGAGAGAGAGAGAGAGAGAGAGAGAGAGAGAGAGAGAGAGAGAGAGAGAGAGATGTAGGTGAATTGCGGCCCAATAAGTTGTTTCGGGCTTTAGGGCCGGGTCTTGGGCTTCTAGGCCCGTTCACTAACCGACGGTGCGATTTCGTCAGCCGGGCCGAGTGACGGCGCCGGCGAGCTCGACCGGCTAACCGCCATCGAGGGATCGCCCCATTTATTCTCTTCTCCTCCATAATTCTTTGGAACGCTTGCGTAGCCAATGGTATATTAAAATTACATATATGCGCCACTCTCACTACATTAACGTCCAAAAGACAAGACAGGTCCTTCTCCATTAGTTAAGAGAGAGAGAGCGAGAGAGAGAGAGAGAGAGAGGACAAGGAAAGTATCTTCCATGGGGACGCCACCGGAGCCCGGAATCTTCAAACTCATGGCAGCCCAACAAATCTGTGGGGCCCAGGATTAAGTAGTCGGACGCTTTCGGACCGTCCGATCCGGTCATGAATCTTACGGTGGGTCTCCCCCTCTTGGTCGTTTTCTTAAAAAGTCCTCATCCCTGACGGGATGTGGGCCCTGAGAGACGTCGGACTGAAGCCCAGTAACGTGATTGGCTGGTCTCTATTGCCCATGGGCCCCCACCGGCTAGATGCTATCTTCCTCTATCTTAACTGCCGTGACAAGTTGACCTCCATATCCGGTCAAAGGGCGGGCCCTGGGTCAAACACCCAACAGGGTGATATGGCATGTGAAAGCACACGGAAGTGGAGCTGGGGGCAGCCTATTCGCCGCCCTTCCAAAGGTCCAAACCGGTCCTGGGCCTGAGATCTTCCCATATTAACTTCACCATTAATGATGCCCGATTCTCTATAGTTTACCAAAAATGTTGGACTGATATCACACTAAATAGAGTAAGATCTCAATAACCACCCTCATTAATTGATATCGATTAGGAAATATTTCTTTCATATGATTAATAAGCATAAACTAAAATACCATAAATAGAAAAAAAAATCTGGAGGGTTCGATCATACTAATCACCCAAGTTAGAGGCATATTTATAGCTTTAAATAGTATGATTATATCATATTTGAACTCATAATAATTATTTAATTTTCTAATTATTCGATTTCCTTAGTATGAAGGATAATGGAAGAATGTATCATAAAAATAACCCAAATTTAAATAAAACCTTCTTAATCGCCCAAGTCCTTGACGAACTAAGTTACTAAATATATTTATATTTTAGTATTAATGCAACCATTATTATATATGCCTTTTTTAAAAAAATAATAGAGGAAATATGGGATAGCTACCGATTTAAGCAATTTATTATATTTCAATTAAAAACTAATATATTCTATAAATAAACAAGCGAATGGGTATTTTAACCGCGTCGTAAGAAAGGTTAGAGGCGTTTGCCTAGTCCCATCCATGCACGTAGTGCGGAGTCCCGGCACCGCTCGCCCACCTACGTCGACCACCGAGCGGGCGAAATATCCGGGCAGCTCGGCCTCTGGCGGCCGTCGGCGGCGGGAGGACCCGTTCAAGGGTGCTTCTCTGAGAAGACACGGAGGGTGGGAAAACCGCCGCCATGGGCTCACCGTCGGCTCACCCTTCACCCCAAAAATAGCTGCTGCTGACCATCAGGCGGTGGTTAGGATCTACTGCCGCGCACGGCGGCGGCGGCGGCGGCGGCGGCGGAGGCTCCTCTCCTCGCTCTTTTTAATCCCATCCTACTTTCCTCCTTCCTGATGAACAGCCGTAGAGGTGAAGGAGAAGTGAGAGGAGGTGATGGGGATCGGCAGGCAGATGTACCCTCTTCTCGTCTCGTCCTTGCTTCTGTTGGCGCCCGTCTTCGCCGACACAAAGGTGAGCTCCTCTTCTTCTTCTTCTTCTTCTTCTTCTTCTTCTTCTTCTTCTTCTTCTGCTTCTCCTTCTTCTTCTTCTTCGTCCTTTTCTTCATGCGACAAAGCTCTGTAATGCCCTTGCTACAGTCCTACGTGGTGTACCTTGGGGGACACTCGCATGGCCCTGACGGGACTCTGACAGATTTCAAGATAGCCACAGACAACCACTACAATCTCCTCGGCTCCTTCTTGGGAAGGTGAGAAACGCTGATCTCTTCTCTTCATCCTCTCTCCGACTGATCTCTCCTTCTCAACACAACTTCCATCTCCCTCTACAGCCAGGAGAAGGCGTCGGAGTCTCTGATTTACTCCTACACCAAGAGCATCAATGGCTTCGCCGCCAACCTCAACGAAGAGGAGGCCGAGGAAATCGCCAGTGAGAGAAAACCCTCTTTACCCTTTTATACCAATGACTAGCATTCTCTCTCTCTCTCTCTACCTCTCTGATGAATGTGGGCTGTGTTCAGAGAGGCCGGACGTGCTCTCGGTGTTTCCGAACAGGCTGAGGAAGCTGCACACGACGAAATCATGGGAGTTTATGGGGCTGGAGAAGGATGGCGCAGTCGGTCCGTACTCGATCTGGGCTAGAGCAAAGTACGGCCAGGATGTGATCATCGCGAACATTGACACTGGTTGACTTTCCAACTCCTAATCTCATTATTTTTCGTCTTCTTCTCCCTTTGAACATCTCTCTCTCTCTCTCTCTCTCCCTCCGCTTCTCTGGAAGTTGACACGGGCGCGCTGACTTTAGAATGGGGTCCACAATATCCATCTATAGCATAGGACTTCTCTGACTTACTCTCATAAGGACTATAAGAGGGAATAAACACATGAGGAAATTAGTAAATTATTTATGATCTAGAAAATATGATCATTTTAACTTTATCAACCACATGGGTTAGTGCGTGAATTTTCGAATATATGCATTAATACAGTTATTTCATGATATACTTATTTTGACATATTTTATCGTGCATGAATATTAGCATCTTATTTATTAAAAGTCATAATACTATTGAAGTTTTTAATTCCAACAAAAAATATCAACCTTATGACATCAAGATTTAATAACTTCATAACCCATTAAACAATCATTGTAAAAAAGACAACCAAATAAAATAATTACCATTTGATGATATGAGGATCGGTAGATCAAGGATATGAAGATAAATAAAACAAAAAAAATTAAATCTCAACAATTTTTTTTAATAACATCAATAATGTTTAAGGTAATGATTCTGCTCATCTATTTTCCTCTTTTGGTAAGAAGAATAGTTAAAATTATTTTGGTGAATTCTATTTAAGGCATCAGATTTGTAGAATATCTGCGGAAAATGTGTCATTCATAAAGATTTACTACAATTATTGCAGGTGTTTGGCCGGAGTCAGAGAGCTTTAATGATGAGGACATGCAACCAATCCCTCCAAGATGGAAGGGGTTTTGTGAGAATGTGGCTGACCCAAAGCACATGGTCAAGTGTAACAGGTCAATACTTGCTATATTTAGCAATCTCTCTCTCTCTCTCTCTCTCTCTCTCTCCTTTGTCTAAATGGCATTCTCAAAGTGGTTTAAGCTCAATGAAGGGCTTTCCTATGAAGTCAAAGCGTCTCTGATATTCTCATAGATAACAAGCTTGAGCTTGGGATGGGTCAACGGGTCTTTAAACAACAATATGACCCTGAATATGTAGGTTTAGTAGAAAAATAGATAAACCCATATCGAATTCCATCGTCTATTTATGATTTTTTATTTTTTAAATAAAAAATAAAAAATAGACAACCAATCGAGGAGAGAGAATTCGAATTAAAATAACAGATAAATAAACAAAAAAATAACATAAATATTAATTATTTGAATACGGCGGTGGGGGGTGGTGGTGTTGTTGCAGGAAGCTGATCGGAGCGAGGCACTTCTGCAATGGCCGGCCGGTGGACGACCGCTACGACTCTGCGAGGGACTTCGACGGCCATGGCACCCACACCCTCTCTACCGCCGGCGGCCGCCTCGTGCCCGGCGCAAACATCTTCGGCATCGCCAATGGCACCGCCAAGGGGGGGTCTCCAGGAGCTCGTGTGGCGGCGTACAAGGTCTGCTCAGATCTGGGGTGCTACGACGCGGACGTCCTCGCCGCGTTCGATGCCGCCATCCACGACGGCGTGGACGTGATCTCGGCCTCCCTGGGGGGGAGCGAATACGATTACTTCTCCAATTCCATCGCGATCGGGTCCTTCCACGCCATGCAGAGGGGGATCCCCGTGGTGTGCTCCGCCGGGAACGACGGGCCGATGACGTACACGGCGAGCAATACCGCGCCTTGGATCCTTACCGTGGCGGCGGGATCGGACGGGCGCGTGTTCACCTCACGCGTCTCCCTCGGCAACGGGCGCCACGCTGAGGTTCGGGGCCGAAAGATCTAATCCCTTTCGGTTTATCATTTTTCTCTTGTGTGATCCGTGTGATGATCCTTGATTTTTTTTTTATCTGAGTTTCTCCTTTACTCCTCTTTCTGTCTTCGTCATATGGTCCTTTGTTCTGGTTTCAGGGATGGAGCATTGCCTCAGAACGCCTTCCTCCGAAGAAACTGTATCCGATGGTTGACTCGGTGATGGCTAAAGTTGCTAACGCAACCAAAGAGCAAGCGTAAGGACTTGTGTCAGTATGTTTTAGTGTCCCACAAGTGATTTTGCTTAGAGCTCTTTCTGAGAATCACCATGCAATTATATATATAGTTTATTCGGGAAATCAGAAAATTCCTCACTGAAAATTCGAACATTGCTCACCCCCTTGAACGAAGTTCCCCTCCCATTCGATCACTTTGCCCCCGGTTTTTCCCTTCTCTACCTGATTCTTTGGCTTATTGTTACGGGGTGGTCATGAGGGATGTCACACTTATTTTTAGACATCAGAGGCTTAATTTTATGTTTGTCTGAGACATTTATATCTTCGCCAAATGTTTTATCTAATGGTACTCTATTGAGTTTAAACTGTGCTATTTATCTCAATATATTTTGAATTTTCAGTCAGTATTGCGAAATCGGATCTCTTGACCCGGATCTGGTGAAGGGAAAGATTGTTGTTTGTCTTCGCGGTGACACTGGCAGAATGGAAAAAGCGGACGTAGTTTCTAAGGCTGGTGGAATTGGAATGATTGTTGCAAACGATGCCAACTTTGGGAATGAACTTCAAGCAGATGCCTATATGTTTCCTGCTGTGCATGTCAATTATGCTGCTGCTACTGTTATTTATTCATACCTCAACTCGACCAAGTAAGATTCTTGCTTTTTCTTGAACACGACTTCTTCTTTGAACGTGGATATGACATCATACTCATTGTTTTCATTGAATATCAAAACCAAATGAGTGATAGGTACTTTTAGCATGGACGTTGATATTATTTTCTTCTTGGATTTCAAGTTATGTAAAATTTCCTCTGATGTTTATTAATATCGAGACTGATGAAACTTTACATAATCTTTCGTCTAAATTATAACATCTCTGAGCCTTACCGTACTTCCGTTTTTCTTTCGCAGATTCTTTAACAGTGCCATTCTCTCATTATTTTCGTTGTCATTTTTAACAGCTATATCCTTCCCAAGAGCCTTCATTATTATTACTAGTGTCTGCTTTGCTTAGCGAATATCTGAGGGAGAAATACTGTCGACACTATTTTCGGGGAGGGACAATCTGATTGCGGAATGACCACTTTAAGGGTGGGGGGCGGCGAATATGAGGGATATGGAATGGACAGATTAAAATAGTCTAGGAGGTGAGATAAAGAATAATACGAAAAGTAGACAATAACATGAATTGGGGTCCTTGAGACCATGTTGTCATCTGATGGGTACTCCAGATGGATCAGAATTGATTGGTTAGGAATAAGTGAGTTAGTTCTCCCAGGCACTTTAACTGTTCAAAAGAGTGAAAATATGTGACAATTTTTTGCAGGAAGTGGTACACTTATCTGTCAAATGAAGAAGCAGGAGATAAGAACAGATATATGGTGATGAGATAGGTTTCATTAGTGTTAACATTTCTCAAGGAAAATTTTAACTTGTGAAACAGTCGTTAATGATCAAATGGTCATTCTTTTAGCTGGAACCTATCTGATCGCTTAGGGTAATAAAACATGTGTTCTTAACCTCTTCAGAAAGACTATGCGGGCCATATCAAGTGGAGATTTACGAAATCGGACCTCTCAAACACATCTCAAACCATGTCAATTCGACTGAAGGTTTCCGAAATGTATATCTAAAAAACGTCTTTTCTGCAATAGGATCACAGGCACTGTTGAGAAAAACATGAAAGTATGAAAGATAGCGTCTCACTATTATAGTAAGCTACACCTTGCTTGACATTGTCGCCATAGCAACTTATGGATATGTACCTGGATGAAAAAAGGTACTACAGTTTTAGAGTTATCACAGTACAATCCGTCTTTTTCTGTTTTATTGTTTTATACCGAGTAGTGTAGGGTTCTGTCACCTCTCTATCTCTCAGATGGTTAATCATGTTGAGAAGCTGGGTAGGGCTATCGTCCATCAAGGTTTTCTTCTCGTTTATCTTATTTGTGATGTGGTAGTTCCTAAGAAACCAGGATGGTTTAGTTAACACTATAGATTTCACATGATTTGCTCTGTGGATCCATTTTGGTTGTTGCTTTAGACTCCTATTTTCCAAAACATTCTTCAATAAACATCTTTAGAAAAAGGTCCTCTCAGATCGGATTCTTCTTGTTCCTTCTCTGAGTGCTCTCAGCCGCATAGATATGGCTATCATAAAATGCACCGCATTTATGTTTGGGCATGTCATTCAGGAAATCCTTCAAATTGGAAAGTTTTAGTGCCAATTAAATTCAAATCTGTGAAGACGCATGGAGAAACACAAGTCAACCAATCGATCAGTTGACTGCCTGAACCCCTTGATACTTTGGTTTCTTGATGTGATGGGTGAGGCTTACACTTCAGCTCAACATTATTCATTTTCGCTGTCAACCACTTTGTCTTGTTTCCCATTCTGGTTCCTCAACCTGTGTACTGCTATACATTTTCCATTTTGGTCGCCCAGATGTATTGCCGATGTTATCTTAGATAACAACACACTTTTGACAAGATATGTAGAGAGCATTAAACATGATTTACGTCTTCATTAATGAATTCACTGATGAAAAGTTCCTTGGGATTGGAGAGATTATATGATTAAGTTTTTTTCACTAATATTTGTATCCGCCATTTCTATTTTACTGCAACAATTTATTCACAGTTCCCGAAAAGAAGGGTCTTGATTTCTTATGATAAAATAATACAGATTAATGCCAAAAGTTCTTCCCATCGAGAGTCACTGACCAGGTTTTTAATTGTAATATAATGACATCCATTATAATCATCATCCATTGGTTCCTCTAGCTCTTTCTTTGTCGTAAATCTAAATTTCTTGTTCTTTATTTGGCTAGGAGATGGGCTTATGACTCTGGCTAACCTAGCTGAGCTGCTTACGAAATGGGCTAATGGCTAGGCTCAAAATTTCAATTTTCCCACTGAACATAAAAAAACTATGAAAAGTTAGGCTCTTGCAGACGGAATCCTTCCTTGTCTGTATTCCACCGAAGAATGGTATTAATCTGCCTTATGTGACAGGTCACCGGTCGGACGGATTGATGCTCCACAAGCACGATTTGGCTTGAAACCAGCGCCATATGTGGCCTTGTTTTCTTCAAGGGGCCCAAGTTATCTCACTCCACAGATCCTCAAGGTCTCAATTCCCCACAACTTCCTCCTCCACTTGAAGCGGCATGAGCTTCCCTGACTTCCATTTCTGACATGGTGGGTTGAATGTGTTGCAGCCTGATATTCTCGCGCCAGGTGTGAACATTCTTGCCGCTTTTTCCCAAGGAACGGCCCCAACGGATGAGCCATGGGATAAACGGAGGGTGGCCTTCAATATTCTTTCGGGCACCTCAATGTCCTGCCCTCATGTTTCTGGCGTGGTTGGTCTTCTCAGATCCCTCTATCCTCACTGGACTCCTGCAGCACTGAGATCGGCCATCATGACCACTGGTAAGCGTCAATTTTTTTGTTTTGTTTTTCATAAACGTCGTCATTTAGATGATATTAGCCGTGAATGGAAAGCTTTGATTGCCAATATTTATGACAACTGCTTGATACTAATAACGAATAAAACGCTCATAGTGAGCTTTTCAACCTAGTTTGATTTTATTTTATTTCCTGCCAAGTATCATCAGACAATGAAATATTTATGAGACAAGACATTATGAGACATAAAATGGTCATAAATTATGAGACATTATGAGACAAAAATGGAACTGTTGAACCTCATTTGAATTTTTTTTTTTCTACCAAATATCACCAGACATGAAATTCTTGTGACCTACAATGGTAATCAGAATGTGTGATATTAATAGTGTGAATCAAGCCCTCTTTATCACACAAGTTCATATGTTGAGACAAAAATGGAACTTTTGAAACCTGATTGGATTCATAAACTCGATCATCTAGATAAATGCGGGGTCTCATGGGTCAATTTTCTCCCCTAGATAAAAAAAAAAAAAAAAGAAAAAAAAAAAGAGGAAAGATTCATCACCAAACCAACTCTAGCCGTCCCATCATGTTGTGATCCACTCTAAGACGAAATCTCTACATGCTGATGAACATCCTCAGATTATTCTCATTGGAAAATCTCCTCTGGCAGCTAGAAACCGAGACAACACAAAACAGGGCATCAGGGATTCCTTCATGGGAAGAGCGAGCCCTCTGGACTACGGAGCCGGCCACATGCGACCCAACCGAGCCGTCCACCCGGGCCTGGTCTACGACCTCACCACCGTTGACTACCTCAACTTCCTCTGCTCCCTGGGCTACAACGCCACACAGATGGGCCCCTTCACCAGTGGCTTTGCATGCCCAAAGAAGAGCATCCGGATTCAGGACCTGAATTACCCCTCGTTGACCTGGTTCAACCTCACTGGGCCAGTAGCCATCGGCAGGACCTTGAAGAACGTTGGCGAGCCGGGCACCTATAAGGCGCTGGTTCGTGCCCCGGCTGGGGTGGCCGTTGTGGTGGAGCCGGAGATTCTTGACTTTGAGAAGGTTGGGGAGGAGAAGACTTTTAGGGTGACGGCAGCGCCGCGCAGCAATGGGACTTCCCTCAGCCGCAATGCTTTTGGGCTGTTGACTTGGTCGGATGGGAAGCACTACGTGAGGAGCCCGCTGTCGGTGATTCAACAGCCCTCTGAATTTTCTTCTTTTGGCAAGGAGGTGTTGGTGGGAGTTTAGTGGATCTTTTCCTGCTTGGGAATAAGGATTGGGCGGGGTGGGTCTTTTCTTTTCTTTCTTCTTTCTTGTTATGTTCAGGCTCATAATGATGATAAGAATAGTACGTAATACATAATGGGAGATGGATGATTCGAGACGTTTGAAACGATGGTGTTGAGGGGGGGAGAGTTATCTCTCTCTCTCTCTCTCTCTCTCTCTCTCTCTCTCTCTCTCTCTCTCTCTCTCTCTCTGTCTCTGTCTCTGTCTGTCTGTCTCTCTCTCGCTCTCTCTGTCTCTCTGTCTCTGTCTCTGCCTGTTTCTCTCTCTCTCTCGCTTCTCACTGTCTCTCTGTCTCTCTCTCTCTCTGTGTCTCTGTGTCTCTGTGTGTGTCTCTCTCTCCCTCTGTCTCTCTGTCTCTCTCTCTCTGTCTCTCTGTGTGTCTCTCTGTCTGTCTGTCTGTCTCTCTCTCTCTCTCTCTCCCTCTGTCTCTCTGTCTGTCTGTCTCTCTCCCTCTGTCTCTCTGTCTGTCTCTCTCTCTCCCTCTCTCCCTCTGTCTCTCTGTCTGTCTGTCTGTCTCTCTCTCTCCCTCTCTCCCTCTGTCTCTCTGTCTGTCTGTCTGTCTCTCTCTCCCCCCCTCTCTCTATCTCGCGCTCTCTCCCTCTCTCTCTGTCTCGCTCCCTCTCTCTCTCCCTCTCTTCCCTCTCTGTCTCTGTCTCTCTCTCTCTGTGATTTATTTACCCTCTCTATTAATACATAATTTGGTGTAGAAGTAAATTCACAAGAGACAAAGAAGGGTCTATGAGGCTTACAAAGGAATTTGAGCCTCTCACGGAGCAACAAAGAGAATCTTGTGAATTAGAAAACTGATTTTTCTCATAAGGAGAATCCTATAACTAGAAAAATTATATGCATTTAAACAAGACATTACTTATATCACTTCATCTAACAATCCCTTTTTTTTTACTAAAAATGTATGGTCACCCTCAAATCGATCAACTAATGCATGACATTAATTATTCAATAGTTTAATAAGTATATATTAAGAGAGTACTGCTAATTATTGCTGGACATATTAAAATTATGTAAACGAAATTCTCTATATAAAGGGAGTTGACCTCAATTTGAAGGGAGAAGGTTCTCTCTGTCGCATATTGTTCTAGATAAGTGAGGAACACACATCATCTTGACTCTTTGTGGACTTTTTCCGTGGTGTTTGAGATTGTTTACCATCTTCAGCTGAGGGATAATCTGGGCAGGCATTCAAGAACAAAACAACGATAATGCATTTTAGCAAGGCCCATTCGCCACAGCCTCATATCAGCAATTTAGGCCAAAACCTAATTTTTGGTGGGCCCTCCTCGGCAAGTTCACTTGGCAGCCAATGTATTCAAAGGGATCCTACTTTCTTTCACCTCTTTCATGTGACCTGCCCTCCCTCCACCGTTTCTAATGGGATTGCATGCAGGGCCCGTCCAAGCCCGGAGGGAGCTTTGGAGATAAGTTGACTCTTGTCCAAGCTCGGAAGCTGACTTTTCTCCGTGCTCGGGCCGTTTAATCAATGCCATTTTACCTCACTAGAGTGTGGCATAAAATCTCAAAAAGGGTGAGATGTTTAGTAATTAAATGGTGAAATGCCCAAAAATAATGATCCATTATTTTCCCCACAAAATCCGGTTTTTAGTAGTATCTTCTTGTTTTCTTGAAAATATTCTCTCAGAAATATTGTTGCCCGATCCTTTTTTTAGAACATAATAAACTGGCTTTAATTGCTCTAAGGATTACGAATTGGAGAGGGTCAACTCTTGGCTTGAAGTCGTATCTCTATGTGATCCGTTCTTTTGTCCCCCACCCCTCTCTCTCTCTCTCTCTCTCTCTCTCTCTCTCTCTCTCTCTCATGAAGAGATATGTGTAGAGGAGGCGGGCCAAATAAGAACTCATTCCCCGTTGACTTTAAAATAGAAGGAGAATCGGAGAAATCAGAACTCAATATAAGAGCCAATTGAGTCTTGCGCGAAGATCAAAGGATGTAAGCTGATTCTCAAAGTCAACGAGGAGGAGTTGTGTGTGCGCTAATGCGATTGATGATCGAGAAAAAGGCGAAATTCTGGTTTCAAAAGGCACCCACTGATGTTTATTGGATTTAATAGAGATACCAATCAATGGGTGTTCTTCCCCTGAAAAAAATTTCCAATTGGCCTCATTCTCTCTCACCCACCAAAGAGAAACCCTGCTGCCTGTTCTTCGTTGCCGTTGAAGAGCTTGAGGGCCTGGATCACCGCCTCACGCCCAAATCCGAGCTCTACCAGCTTCCTGATCTTGCCTTCATCCTGTAATGATGTCATTAATAAGGGCCACATACAAGAAAAGAGATCTGAATTCTCATGGGCAGATCAAGATCTTCTCAATTTCAACCAAAAAAAAAAAAAAGTTATTTAAGAAAGGCGAGGAATCTGATGTCGATGAGAATTTTACCAGTGATTGGGAGCTGGAAGATCTTCCTGAGAAAATAGAAAAGAAGTAGGATGAGTCATCATTAAGTGGTCAAGAGAGCGGATTCTAGAACAAGGAACTAAGTAGAATCTTCATCCCCCCTCCTAGAGAGGGAAAATGGCTTTGACTATTCACCTCGAGATTATATCGATGCCCATTTATGCATTCATAAGGTGTTTTTTTTAATGATTTCCAATGCGGAATTTAGTTCAATATTAATTGACTATCTATGGGTTCACTTAATTTTTTTCCATGGGGGGGCAGCTCTGGTGAAGTGGTTCTGCAGAGTGACTCAGATTTCCTCAACCCCAAGTCATTAGAAAGCATGAGGTGAGAGAAGGATGATAAAGGCTGACCAGAAGGTTGACTTTGAGGCTGGAACTGAGGCGATGGATGCGGGCTTCCAGATGTCCCCTGAAAATTCATGAGAGAAATTATTAAAGGAAGAGAAAATAATATCATCAGCAGTGTGATTCTCATTCTGGGGAGTTGTCCCAGCATGATCAGGAAACATAAGAGACCATCGGTTTCGGGATGATGACAGGGCATGGTAAGTCTCGCAAGAGGCTACCACAAATAAATCTTGCATCTAAAAGTCCAAGTTTCATACATCGTTTGGAAGGTTGATGAATTTTCATAGGAATAAATAAATACGACTGTATTTTCCAAAATAAATAAATAAATAAATAAAATCATCATACAACTCCTCAGGAACAAGATATAGGAATAAAGCCTACCATAATCTGGAGGAGGACCAACAGATATCAAACCAAAACCTTCGACTTCTATGCATTTTTATGATTCAAGAACAGTCTGTGAAACACAGTGATTTCAAAAAAAAACCAGCCCAGACTGAACCTACCTCTAAACCCATGTGGCAGGGGAAGATGTTTTTCTTCTTCAAAAGAAAATCTTCCTCTTTTATTTTATTCCCTGGATGCGTAAATTAATTTGACATTGTTTATGAGACGAAAAAGTTTCTATAATTTAAATTCATGAAGTTCCACACATTAAATGAGATGATGCAGAACAGCCCGCCATTCAGACAAATCAAGATCATAAAGCAGGGAAAATACCAAGAAATAAACAGAGTAACTAGCCAAAACAGAAGAGAATGGTAGATTCACGGATTGGAGGTGCTCACAGCATCTGATCCTTGGGCGGCGGGAGCTTGTTTAGAATAACTTTCTTTATCACGGATATCTGATGGGAGGTCTTTCTCTGAAAAGAATATAAACTTCCATCGTGAACTTCTGGAAAGACTCTTCTCTTTAGGATAATGCATGAAAGCAATCGTTTTTCAATACAAAATAATAGTTTACCAAATATGTTATCGAAGGGATTTATAGTTGAAAAAAAAAAAAAAAAACAGGTTTCATAGATTGCATGGCGAATCAGCCAACATCATGTGATTCCCTTTGCGGGTGGAGTAAATGGAAAATGAATCGGCCAGTTGATTCGAGAATTAGTGTGGGCAAGCCAGCATTTATGCAGAACTAGACATACGAATGGGGAAATGAAACGACCTTGTAAAAATGGCACAGAAACTTCCCCTCCACCGACTCTTAGGACGTTCTCCTTTAGGTCGATTATACACTACACCAGAAGGAGACATCAGTTTTGTTCTGGAAAGAGCAATAAGATATCCAGAGCTCAGGCTGCGTAGAAGTTATTACCTGATGCTTCCGAAGCATATCGAGACCAAAGAGAAAATCCACATTGGAAGCATCGAGTACGGTGAAGGAACATGTGTAGAAAATATTTCCAATCTATAAAAAATCAAAAGCACACATTCATACATGGTTCCCAATAATAATATGAAATAAAAGTAAAATCATGTCACCAGTGAAGATAAAAAGGAGCACATGATCTTCATTTATCTGAAATTTTTACTTGAAAAAGAAAAAAAGGAGTGGAAATGAGTAAGAGCCCGATTGACTTTTTAGAAAGTCAAAGAGAATAAGAGGATGAATCTTTCTTTACCGTCTCAAAAAATGCTACAGCCGAATAGTTTTCAATGGGGAGCTGTCACCAAACATGAACTCTTCTTATTCTCAGTGAATCAAACAATATACCCAGAAGATGGGAGGATCATGATAGTGACAAAATCCATGTAGGACGTGAACAATTGCACCCTCAAGCGTGCCAAAGAGGATAAGCAGAATATTACCACAAAAATCCATGCACTATATTTTAGAGGTCACGCTTTAAAGCGAAGAAAGCAGCACGGTGGGGACTGCCACCAGCAAGTGGCCCATCTTGGCTCCAAGGAGGTACAGCAGCTAAAGGGAGCTCTGCTTCATTTTTTCTCAATCTTTTACATTCACACACACACACACACACACACACACACACACACACTCGACTTTAACATCCATACGCACAGGCATTAATCCTACAGTAATATCCATCTCGACGGACATGAGATCCCCATTTTGTGACCGAGTTTACAGACATATCATTAGGTTTTTTGTCTTTAATTACTACAATCGCAAATTTAAAAAGGGAAAAAATTGGTCAATGATCTCCCCTTAGATTTTGCAGTGATATGACCAAAGTCTGGGTACTGTTAATCATACCCACTCCAGGCTGGGAAATTTATATCTGACTGGCCAAAGACACGGGGGAAATCAGAGTCACTTGAGAGCAGACGACCAGGATTCGACTTATACAGCGTTAAGTATGCTGCCTTATTGTGTAAATCTAACAACCTGGCCTATGATGTTTCCCAAGTCTTCATAGGGAGTCCATAGCAGTACCAAGATAAGGACACCGGCAGATGGCAAGATCCCATGAATTGGTCATTGTTGACAATTGATCTTGATTGAGTTTCATGCAACTTGGAGAATGAAAGGAGTCAATCTTCACAATCCTCTTCTTCCAGGAAGATGAACCAGTCACCACTTCTTGGAGCAGGATTTCCTCACTCCGAAATTGAATACGTCAATTATCATGGTTTCCCGCTTAAGTACCGGTCACATGAGTTAATGTGCCAGGCCCATTAGATTAGTCTTTAAGTGGATCCGTTAACAGTCTAATGGATCCACTTAACACAGGGAATGACAGGAAAGGACGAAAATACAATGGAAAAGAAACATATAAAAAAGGAAAAACAATCCTAGAAAGTTCAACATTCATGATTAATGGGGATGACAATAGGTAGATATGGACGGGTAAAACTGACAGATTCCACTCTTGGCTCTATTACCAATCAGACACGGGCAGTTTCAGAATAATAAAAACGGTGACCAGAAAGCAATGACAAGCATATATATTGACTTGTGTATGCTTGAATACACTATATCATCTCATATCAATAGTTCTATTCTAAATATCAACTCCAGTAACGTATCTACAATACCGTAAAGTCGCACTGCAGCACCAGCCAAGAACTCTGTGCACGATGGGGACATCCCTCCTCCCAAGTTATAACTTCCAGAATTCTTACATCCACAGAACATGGTATACAGATAGAATAAGGGTCCAGATCAAATTTTCTGCAGCCTTACCAGCGTCCCAATGGTTACATGCTTGCCTCACAACTAAATCATAGAAAGAGTAATCCTGATAGATATAATTTTCTAACACAAATTTTTAACCTATGTAATCCTCTTCGAAAAGCTTTTAAACCAAAAAATTGCTTGAACATGAATATGGGCAGCTTCTACTTCAGCATTCAACATGCCGGGCTTTGATTCACACCAAACCTATGAGCTGGTGCCATTTTCCACTGCAAGAGAGTACTTAAGAAGAAAAGTTGATCTTTACACGTTTTCTTCTTTGTTCTTTCTCATCTAGACCGGGTATGCATGGCTGACCCAACTTGGGGAGATATCAGATACCAACAACATTTTTCTAGTTTGTAAACCTCGATAGGGAAGTGGCAGAAGTAGTATTAGACAAGGACTTGGCAAGTTCAATTATGTAATAATCCACACTACAAAAAAAAATGGCCTGGAAAATGTTGTTTGCCCAGGAACATATGTATCAGCATAAATACAGAGACGATGGATATAGTTGAACTGCGGAAAGTATTACCTTAAGTGGAGCCACATGAATTCGTCCCAATATCTCTGATTGGCCAACTCCAACTGCAATTCCTTTGTATCTCTGGTCCAAAAGCCTCAGTAGTCTAGGAAAATTTAGAAAGATACTTTGATGAGTTTCTGCAAGGACTAGTGGTAGAACGGTTAAATATCAACAAGGGCAATGATTAAAGTAACAGAACTTTCAAAAGCAATGCAAACAGTGTAAGTCGAAGAAAATGGACAAGAACATGGTTCGTTCAGTTATGCACTTAATTTCCATTATCTTTGAGATAAAAATAAGAGCTATTGTGTCAGAAGTAAGAGATCCGTTTTGCGATGATTCCCAAGGATTTTCGCTGTGCACCGAGCTAGAAAACTCAAATTCAAAGGTCGCAGCGTTTCAAAAACTGTGATCACCATACAATGTCAACCACATTACATCACTGGTTACTGTTAACCGGGTGTAATAAAACTCCAGGGTTCATCTCACTGGTAATTCAGCTTGTTAGTGTCCAATTTCTAAGGAAAAATTACAAGACAGGAGTTTCGCCAAAAATTAATAAGCCTTCTCCCATCAGTCAAACGAGGAATTCATACAGCACTTACACTTAAACAAACACATAAAATCCCAGTCCAAAGAAGCAACTAGACAGATAAACAAAGAGGTTAGCTGTCTGCAGATTTTGAGCATAACTCTGACAAGAAAAACTAAACAGAAAAGCTGCTGATACACTTGCTACAGTACAAGAAATGGTTCTGATTACTTTCGCTTTTAAGAACAGACAATTTTCGCATAGGATAAATCATAAGCATTGCTAAAAAAAAATTTTAAGCACAACACTGTCAGGAAAGTAGGAGCATACCCGCAGCGCTCTGCACAACTTTTTGAGATGATTGTCGACTGTGCTCCACTGTCAACAAATGCCTACATTAGAAACAGATGTAGCATCACAGCCCAATCTATTGAAAATATTCTTCTGAATGAGAAAAATCCAACTAAATTAGCCAATGAGCACATTCAGGCTTCTTCAAAAGTAAAGAAACGAATATAAAAGAAGCCATCTGGAAACATTTAGGTGAGCACACCATCGCAGGTGCACGTACAGGCACATGTTCTGTGGAGGGCGTAGTGCAGACACGCCGGCAACGTTTAGAAGTGGGCATGACATGCCAGCAGGTGCAGGTGCATGTATGGTGGGCACACGTGCTGCAGGAGAACACACAGAAGGCACATACGCCCAGATCCAGCAACATACATTCGATATGCTACAAGCTGATTTGAATGGATGCCAGGACATGCAAATAAAATTCACACAAGCGGGTAACTTTATCCATCTCAAACCATTATCAACTCACTGAAAATCTGAATAATGCATATGAACTAAATCAGTTCAAGTTTTAATCTTCAGTGCACATTACATTAGTCATATTGCACACTTAAATCCTTTGAGTTAATTTATGGTTTCTACAATGAGTTTTATCAACACTCGTCTAATTTGGACTTGGTCAATTTAGGTTGGAACTGACATGGATGCAGCTCCATCAGTAATCCCTTCTTCAATTTAGGTTGGAACTGATATGGATGCATCTCCATCAGTGATCCCTTCTTCACTGCAGCATACCAACTCCATGCATCCCCATGAGTACCACCTCCTATCCTAAACATTGATTGTTTCTTTTGGTGATGGTAGGCATCCTCCACGACTTTGATTAAAGCCCAACAAGTAAATCCCTCTGCTAGAAACGATGATGATGAATTAAGTTAAAGATTACCTGATTCATTAAAATTGAGGCATGAGTAACAGATAACTATATCATTTCAAAGTTCTATAGTTGAAATGGAGTCCACTATCAGCTGATGATGAGTTGAATGGGCCTGTCCTGCTCAAGGACTTGATCGTGAGAACTATATCACCTTTTGATCAGATGCTTGGAAGAATGGATCAACTGCACTCGCAGCAATCAAGTGGAAACTCTTTCAAACCTTCCCAATATCTACCTTCAGACATTCCTCAGACCTCATTTTCGTATGCATAAGAAGCCCCTGATCTTTTTATTGCACAATGAGAACCAAGGACTCGAATCACTTCCTCAGTTCTTATGGATACAAGACGGAAGCTACTGAAGACCCTTGGCCTTCTATGGTAGTCAAATCCACCTCTTTTACAAACTCTAAGAGGGGGATTCTGGATCCATAGCTGGAACTAACTAAGGATCGAAATGATAAAATGATTATTTTAAGTATGATAAACAAAGGATCATGAAAAAGTTTGCCTGCTAGTTTATTTTGGCATGAATCTCCTTTGTGGTTGTTGATCAACTTGGAATTCAAACGTTTTAAAAGTTTTCCACAGTTAACATATCTATGTAGCCACTGTATTTGTTAAAAAGAAAAACACATGGACACAACAATGTTTCTAAATTCTAGAGCCAGCGAGAGAGAGAGAGAGAGAGAGAGAGAGAGAGAGAAACCTTTAGAGGTACTCCATTAACTTCCATATCCACATATAGCATAACCTACAGAAGAGGCAGAAACCTAAAATTAAAGATATGGTGCAGCCAGGCTATTAAAACAGAGGATGAACAAAACAGACCACTCGAGCAAAAGCTTCAGGATTGTGCTCCAATGCTGCCTCCCAATTTTCATCAATTCCTTTCTGGAAAAGAAGAATAGTGATAACAGCCATTATAAGAATACTGATAACTAGTCAAATTCTCCAAAGAAGCTTGCTTGGTACATCATATAAGATAGATCATTAAATAGTAAACGGTAAAGAGATTTTGCCATAGCACCAATATTTTATTCTTGTGAAGCTCAGCATAGTGAGGGCTAGGAAATATTCATCTTTCCTTAATCAGAAAGCCAGGTTTTCATGCATTTCATTTCGTTCTCATTTTTTTCCTGGGACTGAGGTGAGAGGTATCCTCAAACATTGACAACAACGTTTCTTTTGAGAAGTCGAGCTCTTGTAGTCACCAAAATTTTTAGTCTTTGAATGTTTCAACAGTCTTTTATTACAAGATTTTCACTTCGAGAAATATCACATTTGCATTGCTTCTAAAAAACTAAAGACACATACAAATATTAACTGGAGGGAGTTTCTTCCAATGTAGTCATGCTACACACATGAGTTTGTTGTACACCTCAAACAGAAAAAATAAATTGAGTACGACACAGACTGTAGTTGTACACCTCAAACAGGTTATAAAAAAGTATAAATAAAATAAACTATCCTTCGGGTAACATTCACTGTGGATATTGATGCAAAAATAGATGTCTTCTATTAAGAAAGAAAAATCTCCTAAAATTACATCATTCAAAATGCTACTACATGTAAAGTGATTAATCATAATTGAAAACCAAAGAGAACGATGAAACTAACCTGCCGAATAGCAGCTTCAATTTTTTTCTGAGTTTCAACATTTAGAGGGTCTGCATACATTAGAGCCTGAAAATGATAACATGACCAGCATAAATTAAAATAAAAGATAGAAAAGTATCTCAGAAAATAAAGATGAATTAATATGCTACATCATCCAAAGGCATGTAAAGAACAGCACGTTATCTATTCCACAATAAGCCACCTACCAGCTCTTCCTCTTGCTCACGTTGCAATGCCAATTTTTGTTGATGACGCTCTCGCAAAAGATTTTGCAAGACGTCCAGATCATTTCCAAGGATAACTTGTGCAAGCGTTGGGTCATTCTGAACTCAGTACAAATGCAGCCAACATTATGAAAATGTTGGCTAAGGAAAGAGCGTAAAGATGAAGAAAACAATATTTCTAAAACAGCAAACATTAGAGATCTACTGTTACGGGTTTGCATACCTCTTTTGAAAGTAAAAAGTACCACATATGCATCAAATATGAAAAACATATAATAGACTGTACCTAACCATGTAATCCACTCTGAAATAACTGCCATTAATTTCCTAATAAGTGATCCTTCAAAATGATCCAAAGAGTGATATGGAAGAGGATAAGTCACCATAATTTCAATTATCTATGAAAACCTATTGGGATTTTCAACTTATCCCATAATTCCTACGAAAGTGCCAAGAAGTGCCAATTTATGCTTACTGTTATGAAGAGGTTTTGTCGATCTGTCAAGAGCGTCCCCAGAAAAGGTGAATCATTTCTTCCTCCTACTTGTCAATGCATCCCCTACCCCGAAAAACAAAATTCAAAAAGAAAAACCATTGCACACAGATTCTAGGAAGTGTTGAAGTTACTCAAATGACGAACTGGTCAATCAGGCATGGGAATATATGATGCAAAACAGAGTCAAAAGAAATGAAAGAGGCCCGAAACGTGCAGCCTAGAAAGTCCTAACGGATAAAATGAAGATGAGCCCAATGGAGTCATTTAGGTGCCCCATAAAGTTGAGATGTATTTTCTTTTTGTAGGGTTAGTATGTGCTTCTTGTTATCTAGTAAATCATAGTTTTTAGAGATTTCTTTAGTAGATTTATTGCTTAGGAAATCTACAAACATTTTTCCCTATTTAAAGAAACATGTACTGCAGATGATTTTTTTTTTGAATCAGAAAGATCATTTATATCCTTCTCTCTCCAAGTGCATGGATTCAAAGATCACCTATCAATCATTGTGAATTTAAAGATTCTGAAAGTTGCTCCTTGTGGATTCAAAGATTCCGTATTTCGTTATATATTCAAGGTACAGCATCATCCCCAGTTTTTGCTATGTCAATATATGAAAGTAAATTTCTCCACCTTAGCATCTGAAATTTCAATCGAGATGGAGTCCCCAGATCTAATGTCTCATCTAGTACGCAGTTCATTCATTCATAATGATGTTGATTGACCTTACTATGAACCTAGTCCAATTCTCCTATTTCCATTACCACAAATGCAACTCTTACATATACAATTAGCTCCACGAATAGGCTAAGAAGACCTCCATCCCGTTTTTCCTAAAGGTTCGTCCTGAAAATAGATCACTGTAACAAAAAATTCTTCTGCCGGCCTTGAAGAGTAATTGAAAACTTTCATCTAGAGCCACGGTCTTGCATCACCATCTACAGTGATGATGTAGTCGTATCCTGATTGGAAATGTGGAAAAGCCTCAACATAGCAAGAGCAAAAAAACTTCAAACGAGAATGAGTCACTTCGATATCTGCATACTCATATACCAGGAGATGTAGCAACACTCGTTCATCATACATAATCATAACAATGTTTGACGATAAAACGGATTTCCTATGCACTGTAAGTGTATTCATCACTGCCACAACCCAATTAGACCACTCCACCGTTATCCAACTGGGTAACAACTTCAGAGCATTTTCACAGAAAAAAATCAGTTTGTTCTAAGTAGTATACGGGTTCAGTACATTGCAAAATTGAGGGGAGAATGCAAAAAAATGAGTAACTTAATGTAATGAGGTTACGGGAACAAATGCAACATATCCAGGGGTTTAGTTCTTATGGTGGGGAGGCCAACTGAACAAAAATCTTCAATAATTAACAATAAAGTGTTATAAAGCCATGAGTCTACCTGAAGTAATTGGGCCATCATCTGAGAATTACTCTGAATATGTCGCTGCAATGCCCCAGGGTTCACTGCGGAACCATCAGGATTGAAACTCAAATCATTGTCAGACACCCTGAAAGAGTCCAATCAGAAAAGCGTAACCATCGCATAAAAACTGTCAATGTAACAGAAAGTTTTAAAAAAGAAATTATCAGAATAATCGTGCATTGTCTGGTGTTAATTTCCATGCAGTTAACTCAACGAGCACTATTTGATTCACGCAATCAAATAGTTTATCCCTCGTCATCCAATCACAATTTCCATTTCCTAGTCTACCTATTTATTTGAACTCCAGCTCCCTCTGGATCATGCAGGCAGCGGAAAAAAATAAATTCAGAACACTTAGCATGAGACCCATCTAGACTATCAGCGAGCTTTTTTAGTTTGTAAAGTATAGTTCTGCACTACAAATTTCAACTCAGTCCCACACTATCACCATCAGCCATGCCAGGTTCAATCAACATCAGTTTTTCATCTTCCCCCAACACAGCAACACATTATGTGGGTGCAGACAAACTAAAGAGATCACAACTGTCACACATACTCCTGCAACCATGGCAGTTAATGTTAATCACCGCATCCTTAAAGGGCTGGATGGCTGAAAAGTCATGGCCCACCACCCAAGGTTTATGAATAGTTCAAGCTTAAGCAATAGCCAAGCCCTGCTGCCAGCCTTTCTCTTCATACCACTCAACGAAGAGAGCCAGGACAATGGGACACAGCAAGCTCCTACTCTGACATAGCAAGCCTCTCTTCATCCTTACAAGATGATGAACCTTAACAACCCAAAGTCTTATTCTTTTGAATTTAATCCCTACGTTAGATGAAGCTTGATCAAACAGAAAACCTGGAAAACCAACTAAATTGAATCATCCAAAGTTCCTCACGCTTCTCTTCGAAAGCTCTGGTATACATATCCTCGCAGTTTAGTTCTCCTACAAAGTGTCCCACAGGGGAAAATATTAAGACTCCGTTTATTATCCTAATTATCGACATATTCCAACATAGCATGCCTCATACAAGAAGCCGACCATTGTAAACCATGGCCAAGCATCCTCGATTACAAATTAATGAATAGAATTATTTCCAATGAATGATATCAGATATTTCAAGTTAACCAGGTCATATACATCATAAGAAGGGATAAAAAAGTACGTATAGAAGATTAAGTACCGAGAAGAAGCCAAAGAAAGCATCATCAGCAAGTCCCCCTCTTTCACTCCAATTGTGCTGAGGGAATCGGAGTTCCTCATCTCTTTTCCACTGAAATGCAACTGCTGTTGTTGAGTTGATACCCCCGTCTGCAGTTCAAAAAATACTTAGGCCACAGAAAAATATTAGTGAAAAAAGGAGGCCCAAAAAGTTGCCGGGGTCTCACCTCTACCTCGAGCAGAGCTTTGACATTCTCGACCTGTATAAGAGGATACATTAATCTCACGACGAGAAAACATTAACCTGAGTAAACCAGAAACCAAGCTCCGGAGAAACAACCAAATTCGGCGCATGAAAACCAATGAATCCTCAACAGTCAAATTAAGGGGTAATCATACCGATTCGTCGGCATCGACGTCTAATGTGATAAACTGCTCGTCGGGTGTCATCACTGTGATCTTCATTTTCGCTTCCGCCCCGACCGCTCACGAACCAACCAAATCTTCTCAGCTAGATCCCTTTCGAACCAGAGAAACAAAGCGCCCGAAAACCGAAATCCAGCAGCTGAGATTTCGAGCGAACAACACTCTTCCCACCTCCCCTTCTTCCTTCCCCCGCCGATCGTTTGAGCGGGGAAGAAGCGCCGGTCGCTGCCTCAGCGCCTCCGATCTACGTCCGGTCCCCCATTGCCGCTCTTCCATCTCATCTGCAGTATACATGCTGTAGTGGGCCCCACTTCCCTTCGTATTTAATTAATTTAATCACGTCTTTTGAAGTAAGTATTATGGTTTATTATAAATGCCTTTAAAAAGGGTACGTGGAAAACTACACGTTAACCCGCATTAGTAGTATAATAATAGTTTTACCCTCTTAGAAAATACAGTTGACTGGACGCGCTTTGATCTTTGGAAAAGAAAAGTTAATACTTTAAAAAGGACAAGGAGAATCGAGTATATCCAGGGACCTTTTTATAATTTAGGCTGTCAGAAGCGGCACAAAGCCCTGCCAAAAGTAAAACCATTGCCCCCAGCCCGAAGCCCGCCATGATCTCTCTCTCTCTCTCTCTCTCTCTCTCTTTCTCTCTCTCATAGAAATCATGGCCCAGGCCATCTGATCCCAGTTCTCTGCATGGACCTGAAAATGAGGCCCATTATAAAATAAAGCCACGTCAGCATGGCGTGGATTTTAGTCTCTCTCTCTCTCTCTCTCTTTAAATGATGTTCATAAATATGTTGAATAGATATGGGGGAGGACGGGCCGAAGCCCATCAAAGCCGGGCTTTTGACCGTACCGGGCCGGGTCGAGGGCTTTCAAAGACCAGGCCCATTTATGCGTGCATCTATAAATGAGAGAAAACGGGAGCCGCCTTTGAAACGAAACGTGTTCGGCCTCGCTTGCGGAAGCAACCGCCATCTGCCCCAAATTGGGAAGCGGCTCCGCCCCCTCCATCAGGCCTCCTCCGATCTCCTGGGAGCATTTCCGGCGGGGATTTGTTGTTCTGCTTGAGATCTTGGATTGCGCAGGTCTTCCGAGGAGGGTCTCTCTCGCCGTGTTGTCGTCCTACGTTGCGTATTTTTCGGAGATCCGAACGGCAGCGGCGATGTCGTACGCGTACCTTTTCAAGTACATCATCATCGGAGATACTGGTGGGTGCCTGAAAACTACCTCGCTTGTTGTCCTGAAATATTTCCTGGCGTTCAATTTGGTTGCTAGTCGTTTCCAATTTTTTATCAGTTTTCTCTCTTGTTTATTGTGCGACTATTTCTTTGCGTTAATTCGGCACTTTGTTGGAATGCTGATTCTTTTTGGTTTCGACGGTGTCGTACTGGAGTGTCTAAGGTATTTATTTTTCTGTGGTGGCAATTTGTTTTGGATTTATCTTTCGTTCATTCAAGTTCGTTGCAAGGTCTTTATTTGCTATGTAGATTCGTCTCGCAAATGGAAGTGTTACGGATATTGACCTGGCTTTAATTTTGAAGAAGAGATGTTTGTATTTCTTTTCCTCTGGATTTCCCTATTATGAAGGGTGGCCATCGCGTTGCAGTTTCCTGGTTGGCTGTACTTTTGATGGCATTTGCCCATATAAATAAAATGTACCCTTTTAAACCTGTATCTGTGCCTCATTTAATGTTTTTGAAAGAATTTTCAGATTGGAAAAGGTCCACTGCTGCTAACTTCCGCTGCTTGGCCCCCTCATCCTGTGTATTTTTCGAAACATTTGTCCTGATTCATTGGATCTTTAATTTTTTTCATCTAATATCCTACTGACGTTGATAATTCATTAATTTTTATAATAAAATGCTGCCATAAGTCGACGTTTCTTATTTCGTCTCCTTTCTCAGTTCCATTTCTGTAAAGGCATTTGTCTTTATACTTCATTTTCCTCTCGTGTGTACAACAACATACTTTCCTACAGTGCATTTCTTTTGTTAATTGGAATATAAAGCACCTGTATATCATTCATTTTTTTGCCAATCATGCGATTGAACTTTCATCATTGTAGTTGTTAGAACCTCTGCTTTTAATTCCTTAAGCATCAATTTTTATTTAATTAGAATTTTTTAGCATATATCCATTTATTATGTTTTTCAGGAGTTGGGAAATCATGTCTTCTTCTGCAATTTACTGACAAGCGTTTCCAGCCAGTGCATGATTTAACAATTGGTGTGGAGTTTGGGGCGAGAATGATTACAATTGATAACAAACCTATAAAGCTGCAGATATGGGACACGGTTCGTTACATGCTAATTATTTTTCATGTGTTTTTACACGTTATTTTTTTATTATTCTTGTTACCCCGATGGACCCTATTTCCTTGAAGTTTGAACCACTTCTTGTCTTGAAATGTTTTCCTTTCAATAAACTTATAATTCTGAACGTCTACTGAAGTTTCATTTGTTGAAATCATGGAGGCTGAAGCTTGTGGTTGATTTTTCTCCCTTTGTCTCCTAAAATTTCTCTTCTTCAATGCCAACATAGTTTTTCTACGAAAAATACATGATTTGACAATTTTTAGTTTTTTATTTCATGACTTGGAAACACACATTTCTTCTTCCTGAAATACAGGGTGTAGTTTTTTTATAAACTAAATCACTTCTTAACCTTTGAACGTACTTTTATCTTGATGCAAATAATTAGTTTTTTTATTTTTCATTTCTCTTGCGTTCTTGTACCTGTACAATAATTCTTGAATCAACATTTATCTTGTACTTGTTGTGTAGGAAGTATCTGCAGATTATAAGACAATTCAGTCAGAATCATAACTGATTCATTTCTCCCCTATGTATTACTTCCAATGCAGTTTATTTTAATTGGATATCTTTTATCTTGGAGTACACTTTTAAAAAATATATATTGTGTTGTGATGGATGTTTGATTACGTATTTGGTTCTCATTCAATTAAATGTTAGGCAACTATTGAATGTGGACAGTATAACTTTAAAGGGATAGCTTGGTGTCCTTGAAAGTGCTCAAAAGTTTAGACTCGCTAACAAGAAGATGATGATTTTCATTTGATTGTTTCGAAGGGGAATAATAAATGGAGTTTTATGCCAATGAGAACGGCTCCTCTGGTTTGGTGCGGACCATGACACTAAAGGACACCATATACAGTAACCCACATCATTCACTTCCAATTGTTTTGAAGAAATATGATTGGCCTTCTTGAGGATCCAAAACTAATAGGAAGCAAACTTGAACTTGCTGTAGGATGTACACTCTTGTTTGTTGATCTAGAATGTCTTCCTTGCCATTTGTCGGTTTTTCATATCTTTGATCATCCCTCCAGTGACATTGATATCCGTTGACCTAATCTGATTAGTCAAAGAATTTGATTTCGATCTCGAATCAGCCTAATTTCTGTTATATTTGGAGCAAATGTTGAAAATACTTGCAAACAGACGAAAAGAGCGTGTGCAGAGGCTAACGTTGGAGAACACATCATGTGTTATATCTTCATGTATAAACTTAGTTTCCTGATTAAAGGTGATTGCGATTGCGATTTCGATGAAATATAATACTTGCAGTTATAAATTTCCTGCTGACGTTTTCTGTCAAGACCTTTCAGATAATATGTGGATAACAATTTCATTGTCAGTGGCAGAAAGTTTCCAGCTGGAATCTTTCTCCCTGTGCATTTTTTTTGGTAATTACCTTCAATTTCCGTGGCAAATATACAAGTTTAGTTTGGTTTAATCAACTCCAGTGAGTTAGCTAAGTCCGTCCTAAAATGGCGGAACATTCCAGGAAGGTTTTTATTTTCTAAGGAAAAATGCAAAGCGAGCTTCTCCACTGCTTTGTGGGTGGGTGGATGGTTGTTTGCAAAATTTTGATTTTCTCTGGGTTAGCGTAGCTACCAAGATTTTCTAACTCAGTGGAATTTTATAACGTTATTATTGCTTCCTTTCTTCCCCATTTCTGAGCACTTAGTTTACTGCCACTGACGTCTGATTGTTAGCTTCAGATGCAACCAATTTCTATCATGATTTTGTTTTCTGATTCTTATAACTTTTGTGATCAGGTATTCTATGTGCTCCCTGAAAGTTCTTAAATGCTCTGTAGCATAATTTATTTTTTCCTTATCACATTGTTAATCAGTTGATTCTTGTGCCATGGAACACTTGCTTATTGATCCCTAGTTAACCAAAAATATTGATAGCTATGATACCTGATGCTCTTCTTGACCCTTATCACCTTCTGATCTTTGTAATATTTATTATGCCCCAGGCTGGTCAGGAATCTTTTCGATCCATTACAAGATCTTACTATAGAGGGGCTGCTGGTGCACTCTTAGTTTATGACATCACAAGGTATTTGTTGTACCTTCATGCAATTGAGATTCTTAAAAATTTATCTTTGCTGTACATGGGAATTCATTGGGTTTGGCATTCATCCTTGTTCGAATGGATAAAATTTAATGTCTTCTGAAAAAATTATTTTCCGGGACATTTAAATTCTTGAGTCTTTGATGATAGAATCATTTGTCTGGTTAGTGTATTGTAAAAGGTCTTCCACCTATAATCTACCTTTCCATGTTGCACTCTCATCATCGACAGTTCTATCATCAGTGCTTATAACAGTCATTTGTCACCCATTGTAAATATTGTTGTACTTCAGAGTCACTTTGACCTCTCAGATTTCGTCAAAATAAAGTCTAGTAAAAAGTTTTGTGTTATTATCTGATATAATGCAAACCCATCAACCAGGGTAAAATTTACTTTTCTCTTTTTGTTTGTTTACTCAGCTTGTAGACCACAGATCTTTATCGGAACATTCTAGAAGAAGAGAAATTAGTCTACTCAAGATATTTCATATTCTACTGTCTGTCCTATTGGTGGTTTAATATGGTGGAAATGTTTAAGTTTTATTCCCGGTTGACTTCCTACATATCTTCAGTCGTTGCAGCCAGTTGAATACTATTGCTTCATCCTTCAGCCCTTCCTGGTTTCTTGATGCCACTTGTTGTCATAAGAAACATGGATTGGAACTGTCCTAGTTTACTTGATGATTGAAGAATAATTTGTTTACTGGGTTTGGTTCAAACTGATGCACTCAGGCTCTCAGATAATTTAGTAAAAGTTATCCTTATCATGCATGTGCATCATGCATTGGGTTCCAATTCCCCATTTACCACCTGTGGACTCGTGCACTCAATCCTTTTTGTAAACCAAAATTTTCAGGAGGGAGACATTTAACCATCTTGCAAGCTGGCTGGAAGATGCTAGACAACATGCAAATGCAAACATGACAATCATGCTGATTGGGAACAAATGCGATCTTGCCCATAGAAGAGCTGTCAGTACCGAAGAAGGGGAACGCTTTGCCAAGGAAAATGGATTGATCTTTATGGAGGCCTCTGCAAAGACAGCGCAGAATGTTGAGGAGGTAGGAAACAATGCAGCTTACTGCCAAAGGGCTTATTTTACTCATTCATTGTCTTCAACTTCAAAGTTGTCCAACAGGCATTCATTCGCACGGCTGCCACAATTTACAAAAAGATTCAGGAAGGTGTCTTTGATGTGTCCAACGAGGTAACGTTTTTGCATATTTTATTTCTCGATATTCTTTTATCACTGAGGATAAGGGGTCACCTAATGTTTAAAGAGACAACTGCAACCTTTCAGAGCTTTCATGGAAGAAATGTCACCATAGGGTGAGAGACAGGAAAAGCGGCTATTTTGAAAGCTGATTTTGAAAATCATGTGCTGCCTGAGTTGGAAGTGTGAGTAGGATATTATCTTTGATGGGTTTCAAGTGAAAGTTAATCAACCGAATCACGAATTAAGTTGCAGCAGTATGCCTTTCAGTTCTAATCAATGGAGAGCCCATAGGAGTTTTTGAAAGTGTTCTAGTAGAGTCAAGCCTGGCGACCCAATGACTCCTTTATGTTTGTGGGTATTGTCTTGAATCTGATCGACATATGGCAAACGCCAGCACGTAAAATCCCTCCTCAAAGGCACAAATTTTGGGGAAATAATTCTGGTTAAGTCGCATCCTGCTTGCATATGATCCTATTTGAAGGAGATGATGAACAACAGGTCAGGAATCTAAAATAAAATGTCCTGAAATAAATTGAGATGACAAGAACACTGTCATAGACTTCCCCAATGACAATATTGTAGAGAGTTCATGTCCGATAGTTGGGTTTAAAAAGAGGGATCATTTCCCTATCAGCTGTTTAGGATGAAAGATTGGTGGATGATAATATAATTTGAATGGCAACAAGTCTACTCGGGGGATTAAACCAGGTTTCTATTCAGGGGAGGTAGACGGATTTGAATCCGTCATTCCTTCTCAGAACTCTCCTTATACCATTTTTTCTATGGGCCAGAGAATAGAAGGGAAATGATATGGTTCTTACTAACTCGTCAGTGAACAAAACCTAAAGGAAGGGTTGTAGTAGGATTGGTTCAGCTGGTACTTTTTTGTTACTTTCTCCTGAATACATTTACTGTTTTATTAACGTTCGTGAGAAATAATTCACTGACATTTGCCGCAGCTTAATAGTCTTTGTGAAGCAGATTTCACGTTCACATGGTTACACTTTCTGGGAAGGTTCATTTTGAAACTGAAAGTTTCTGATTAATATATGACAGAATTTTTTTACTTTATTGGGCAAAGGAAAATCTCAACAGAAATCAAAACTGAACTTGTAGACAAAAAATTTATGGAGCTGTACTGCATGAGGAAAACTGCTGGGTGAAAACATGTAGCGATGTTCATGAGGGTAGGTGCAGAAATATGGCGAATGAATCTCTTTTTGGATGAAGAATAATCCTTCTAGAGTCAGACTTTGTAGAAAATGTAGACCATAAGATTATATACATGTGTGATACACTGAGCTGATTCAGCCGTGGTTCCCCTCGTCTTCCACTACTTAATTTGAAAGGACGAGATGGAATCTGATATTGTCAGCTGTGCTTTTGAAACGTTTGGAGTGAGAAACACGGCACGATTCCTACTCTTTGCACTGGGACTTCCAAGACACGATGGATGGTATTACTATCACCCTCTTAATGCCTATGATTAATTTCTGTACCAGAACTGTTTGGGGAGACGTGGTCAATCCACAAGCTGGGCTAATCATACCATTTATATCCATCTTTAGCTCATTAGCAGAAGAGGGAAGCATTGGAATATTACATTTCATCCATCTCAGTCAAAAATGGAAAAACTCTCAGAAAACAGAAGCCGACTGATTTCTCATATAATCAGTAGAATCAGTAGATATATATTCCATTTAATACATCTTAGCTCATTAGCAGAAGAGGAAAGCATTGAAGTAGTTACATTAGCTGACTCTGATTTCTCGTAGAATCAATCGTGGATTCGGAGGCATGGCATCTGATGAAATCTGGTGTTCTACTTTCCTGCCCACCATTTCCACAAATTTGGGATAAAAGCCAGATTATGGCGGTTGACACATCGCATCTTCTTCTCACGTTTCTATTTACCGTACACAAGTTCATCTCGTTGACCCAAAGCATGTGACATCTCATAACGACCAACGATCGTCTCTTTCTCTCCAGTCCTCTGGGATCAAGGTCGGCTATGGAGGAATACCCGGCTCGTCTGGTGGGGCCAGCGGCTCGTCAGCACCGGGAGGCGGATGCTGCAGCTGAGATTCCCTTCGAAAAGAAGGCATAGATTGTGAGTTTTTATCATCATCATCATCATCATGACGTCATCCCTTGATATTAATTGCATGCATATCTGGGTTAGTTGGTGTTCTTGGAAAATTTCCCAATGTGCATATATTGCAGATGTAGAAATCCTCCCAATGGTTGTCGTTGCTGTGATTGCTTCTTGTATATTTGGGACGCAGACCAGGACTCCTCTGTTCTCCCCCTCCCCTCCTCTTTACGTTCTTGTAAAAGCCTGATAAAAATAAAAAATAGAATAATCCAACATTGATGCTGATGCTGATGCTGATGTTGATGTTGCTGCTGCTGCTGCTGCTGCTGCTGCTGTTATTTATCACCATTTCACTGCATGGCTTCTCCTTAAATCAAATCAGCGATTCTTCTTCTTCTGCTTCCTTGTTCTTCTGCTTCCTTGTTCTTCCGATAAAAGGTCTGACGATTGGTATTTTTCATGAAATGATATTTGTGAATTTCCCCGTATTTAAGATTTACTGAAAAAGACAATTTATCAGAGAGATTCTACGCGAGGGATGTTGTTGCCCCAGATAACTCTTTCTCTCCTCTTTCTTTCTTTCTTCTTCCTCCCGTCTCCTCTTTTTCTCTACTCCTCTTAGTGGGAACGCCACACAGAAAGAGAGGAGACGGAACTTGAGTCCACGGGGAGGGCGGTCAACGCCTTCTAACAACGGGCTCACCCATTTCGGTCTTGTTTCTGGGTCCAAGAAGCCTGGTATGGGCTGGGCCACATTTTGTGGCCTTGAAAGAGGGTTCATAATAGCCGACTCAACCAGGTCTGACCAATTGCCCAGCAGCCGATGTGGTGGAGCAGTCTAATCTCTGGCCGTCCATGTTCCATGTGAGCCGGGGGCGCGGGGGGAGGGGGAGGAGGAGATATTTTCCAGTGATGCCAGTAATGCCGGGGGGGGGGAGGGGAGAGAGAGAGAGAGAGAGAGAGAGAGAGAGAGAGAGCCCGCCTTTTATCACGTGCAGCTGACTAATTTTGTCGTCTCCTTCTCACGTGCACACAATGCTCTTTACCATAGCCCGAGGAACAAGATGGGATTCGGTGAACCCTGGCTAGAGTAGACACGTGGTGGTCTGGGCAGAATCTATTATTTTACATGTAGACTATCCGACGATTTTATATATAATCTTAAATAATTTCAAAAAACTAAAATTTATGAAAAAAACTAAAGATTTTTTTTTTTTAAATATTGATATTTAAAAATAAAAATAGTATTTTAGAAACGCAGAAAAAAAGCTTTTTAATTTTTTATATTTCATTAATCTATGATTTAATCACAGTGAAATGGCTGCAGAAGAAAGGTGGTTAATCATGGGAAGGGTCGACTCTAGGACTTATTATATTTTTTAAAGTAATTACAGAATAATAAGCCCTCTTTTTCCCGTCATTTCTTCTTATATATAAATAAATAAATAAATGTAGGAGGCAGCCCTCCACGATTCGCCATTCCTCTCTGCCTGTGTGCTTTGCCCGCCTGTTAAAGGAAAGAAAGAAGGCCCCGGCCATCTCTCCTCTTCCATCCAGCTCCTTCCGCATCATCGCCGGTGCATTCTGACGTTCTCTCTTTCTCCTCTCCTTCTTCGTCTTCTCCGCCTCTCCGGCAGCCGTTGACCGGCTCTGTGCCGCCGGCGCTTCGTCGTGAAGGTTGCAGAGCGAGGATGACAGTCGGAGCGGGGATTTCCGTGGTCAACGGGAACCTGATGGTTCTGGGGACGAAGATCCTGTCCTCCGTCCGCGATAACGTCCTCCTGAGTCCCGCCGGAGAAGACGGGTCGATAAACGGCGCTTTCATCGGCGTCGGATCGAATCGCAGCGGTAGCCGACGTGTTTTCCCCATTGGAAAGCTTCAGTAAGCGTTCTTCTTCTTCTTCTTCCTGAGCTCTTCTTTTTCTTCTTCCTAGGCTCTTCTTCTTCCTGAGCTCTTCTTTTTCTTCTTCTTCTTCCTGAGCTCTTCTTTTTCTTCTTCTTCTTCCTGAGCTCTTCTTTTTCTTCTTCTTCCTGAGCTCTTCTTTTTCTTCTTCTTCCTGAGCTCTTCTTTTTCTTCTTCTTCCTGGGCTCTTCTTCTTCTTCCTGAGCTCTTCTTTTTCTTCTTCTTCTTCCTGGGCTCTTCTTCTTCTTCCTGAACTCTTCTTTTTCTTCTTCTTCTTCCTGGGCTCTTCTTCTTCTTCTTTTTGAGCTCTACATGGAAGGATCGGCAGAAGCTGTGTGGGATTGGTGATCGTTTGCCATGTTCCAGGGAACTACGCTTCATGTGCGTCTTCCGATTCAAGCTATGGTGGATGACGCAGAGGATGGGGTCCTTCGGGAGAGACGTCCCTTTCGAGACCCAGTTCCTGATAGTCGAGGGAAAGGGCACGTCGCTCTCCGACGAGGATGGTGCAGACTGCAAGGAGCCATCTGCCACCTACTGCGTCTTCCTGCCCATCCTCGAGGGTAGCTTCCGAGCTGTTCTTCAGGGGAACGAAGACGATGAGCTAGAGATTTGCCTGGAAAGCGGTATAACCCTGGTCATGGATAGGATTCTTTTTGAAGATCCGCCTCTGGGTCCTGATGCTTCTGAAAATATGGCAGGTGATCCGGCTGTCGACAGCTTTGAAGGGTCACATTTGGTATTTGTGGCAGCTGGAAAGGATCCGTTCAACGTGATCACGAATGCAGTGAAGTATGGATATTAGACTGTAGAATCATTATTCAGTATTAAATTAACTTTTTCTTTTTAAATGGAGTCGTCACCAATCGTCTTCCACCCTCTGACAGAGCCCTGGAGAGGCACTTGCAGACGTTTACCCACCGAGAGAAGAAGAAGGTGATCCTCACGCGGACTATCTACTCGCTCTCTGCCACATTTTTCTTTGGGCTGTGCGTAACTCTCAGCAAGACATCTTCCGTCCATGGCAGATGCCAGACTTGATAAACTGGTTCGGCTGGTGCACCTGGGATGCTTTCTACACAGAGGTCACTGCTGAGGGAGTTCGCAAGGGCCTTCTGAGGTCTTCTCTTTGACCTCTATCAAGTATTTACCAAGACGAAACGTGTTACGAGGTCTCATCTTTTGTTTTCAGCCTGAAGAAGGGAGGGATTCCGCCAAGGTTTATCATAATTGACGATGGCTGGCAATCGGTCGGCATGGATCCTACTGGCGTTGCCATGGAAGTCGATAACTCGGCCAAGTGAGCGGCTACTCAAAACGACTGACTCCCCCAGTTCCCCCTTCGCCGGATATTCATTTCCTCTCTCTGTCTCTTTCTATCTCCTCAGCTTCGCGAACAGGCTGACCCACATCAAGGAGAATCACAAGTTCCAGAAAAACGGGAGGGAGGGCCACCGGGAAGAAGACCCAGCTCTGGGTCTCGCCCACGTCGTCGCCGAACTGAAGGAGAGCCACGATCTGAAGTAAGACCTCTTCAATTCAGAGTTCCAATGCAGGGGATCTTGCGGCCATTCAAGCCATAGATCTCGCATCTTTCCTCTCTCTCTGCTGGGGGTTTACTCTTCGCTCCTCTGCAGACTCTTTCTCTCTCTCTCTCTACAGCCATCTTTCCCTGTTCCTCGCAGGTATGTCTACGTGTGGCATGCGATAACGGGGTACTGGGGAGGCGTGAGGCCCGGGGTGAGGGAGATGGAGCCGTACGAGCCCAAAATGGCGTATCCCATCTCCTCCCCGGGGGTTCGATCCAACGAGGCCTGCGGTGCCCTAAACTGCATGGCCGTCAACGGCCTCGGTCTGGTCAACCCTGAGAAGGTCTTCACCTTCTACGACGAGCTCCACTCCTACCTGGCTGCCTCTGGCGTTGACGGCGTCAAAGTGGACGTCCAGAACGTCCTGGAAACATTAGGTGCCGGCCATGGCGGCAGAGTAGAGCTCACTCGAAAGTACCACAGGGCCCTGGAAACCTCCATCGCCCTAAACTTCCCCGACAATGGCGTCATCTCTTGCATGAGCCACAACACCGACGGCTTATACAGGCATCCTGCATTATCTATTATCTCCCGAATTTTTATTTTATTTAATTATATTATTCGGATCTTACTTACACGGCTCTTACCCATTAGTCGTTGACTTTTATGTGCTGTGTTCATCAACTGCGTGTCCAGTGCGAAGAGAGCAGCCGTCATAAGAGCGTCTGATGACTTCTGGCCGAGAGACGCCGCCTCTCACACGATTCACATCGCGTCGGTTGCATATAACACCGTTTTCTTGGGGGAGTTCATGCAGCCCGACTGGGACATGTTCCACGTACTGACCCTTCAATAGCCTTCCCCTTGTTCTCTGTTTGCAGATTTCTTCAATGTTTCTTCATCGGTTTTCAGATTGTAAGAATTTTTATTAATCTTGGTGCCGATATTCGTGATCTGATCTCTTCCCAGTTTTTTTTTTCCTTCTGCAAGATTCCAATAGTTTTACCTTCCAGATTTAGTTGTTTTTAGTAATCCCCGCTTTGTTTGCTAGTTTATCCAAGCATTATTCACGCAGTGATAAAAATTAATAGTTTATGGTTTAGCACTTTTCTTGTTAAAGTTTGTACAAAAATACATTTATTTCAGGTGTCATATAAATTTTACAAGAAGTGATAGTTATTGGTTCCAGATTTAGTCTTTTTATTAATGTTGGTAAAAAAATGAATATTAGTATGTGTATCATCATCATGTTTCTTCCCTTCGTCATGCAAATTTTATGAGAATATAAAATCAAGTAGTGATTATTGTTTCAGACTTATTATTTTTTTTTATTTCATTCTTTTGCAATTTTTTTCAAAATAATGCACGTAGTTATAAGTATTAGATTCAAGGTTTAATATTTATATTAATCACGAATTTATTTAACTAAGTTCTCCACAGATTATGCACGAAGATATTATTATTACGTACGATATAAATATCATTTTTTCCCATTTTTGCGATTCTCTTCAAAAATTATGTAAGAAGCCATAATTAATCGCTTCCTTTTGATTTTTTTATTAATATTTTTTTTGCAAGTTTCCCCAAAAATTACGTACGAGGAGGTAATTATTAGTTCGGATATTTCCTGATTTTTTTTAATCTTGGTGCCAATATGCATATTAGTCTTGGTACCAATATTTATCTGGAACAAAACCCGAAAAATTTATAGAAAAAATATTTTCTGTCCGAATCCTTATTCTTCTTTAAGAAATATCTTTTTATTGCTCTTTTCAGAGCCTTCATCCAATGGCTGAGTACCATGCAGCAGCAAGAGCTGTGGGAGGGTGTGCTGTTTATGTTAGGTATGAATATATATATATATATATATATATATATATATATATATCATCGATCTCCATGCTCTTTTATTGAAATAAATCAATGATCTTATCTACCGATCACTTCGATCAAATGCAGTGATAAACCTGGGAATCACGACTTCAATCTTCTGAGGAAGCTCGTTCTTCCCGACGGGTCGATCTTGAGGGCGAAGCTTCCGGGCAGGCCAACCAGAGACTGCCTTTTCTCAGACCCAGCAAGAGATGGAACCAGGTACCCGTCAAACCATATCATTAGACGCTTTATTGCATGATTCATGATTCTGCGTGCTAATCCCCCCCTCCTTGTCCGAAAATTATCTCAGCCTGCTGAAGATCTGGAACCTGAACGATTACTCGGGGGTTATCGGCGTCTTCAACTGTCAGGGAGCCGGATGGTGCAGATTCGACAAGAAGAACTTGATCCACGACGAAGATCCCGGCCCAATCTCCGCCGCCGTCCGTTCGAGGGATGTCGAACACCTGCAGAAGATCGCCGGCGATGCTTGGGAAGGAGACGCGGTGGTCTTCTCTCACTTGGGCGGTATATGATTCTCTCTCCACCATTAAGCTACGGATGCCGATCAGTTTTTCCGATCATCTCTTCCACACAGGAGAACTCGTCTACCTCCCGAGAGAGTCGTCCTTGCCCGTAACCCTAAAACCCAGGGAATACGAGGTCTTCACGGTGGCTCCGGTGACGAGGTTGTCCAAAGGAGCCGCCTTTGCCGCTGTTGGACTGCTGAAGATGTTCAACTCCGGAGGGGCAGTCAAGGGTTTGAAGTACGGAGGAGCGGCGGTGGAGGTCAACGCCCGAGGATGCGGGACCTTCGGATGCTACTCCTCGACCAGGCCGACGAGAGTGACTGTGGATTCTGCAGAAGTGGAGTTCATCTACGACGAGGGAAGCGGGCTCCTGACGATGGAGTTGGAGGTACCTAGGGAGGAGCTGTACCTGTGGAGCATCAGCGTGGAGTTCTTCTAGCCTGGTTCTCCCCAGTCGCAAATTAATAAGATTGGTGTCTTCTGGTTGGGTTGATCCTGAGGAAGGAGATTTGAAGGATTTCGTTCTACGCTTGATTTTTAAGAAGACACGGTGAAATATTTCAGTGGGAGTTTTAATCTATCGGTGGGGAGTTTTTTTATCAAAAAAGTGGTGTTTTTGATGGCTGGATTTGCGGTTGAGTTCGAGAAAATCTGCTTTTCCGCCGCCGTCTTTTGATCCCATCCGTTTCCCTTCCTTCCTCTCCTCCGTTGGGGGCGGCGGAGACCAGCTGCCCGCCACCCGTACACTCAGTTGCCACGCCGTAACTTTGAGCTGTCACGTCCTATCCAGCACTCCCCGCCTATAAATCCTCTTCTCCATCTCCTCACGTCTCTCTCCCCTTCTCTCACCTCACCACCATATCTCCAGAGGGAGAGAGAGATATATAGCGAAGGAGAGAGAGAGAGAGAGAGGATGGCGCAGGAGACATTTCTGCCGGGGGAAGAGCCCCTCCGCCGCCGCCAGCGCCCAAGTGGCGCCGCCTTACTCTGGGCGTCGCTGGCGAGTGCGGCCTTGGGAGGGCCCCTGCTGGCCATGATGGGCTTCACCCTTATGGCCTCCCTCACCCTCCTGCTGGTGGCCTCCCCCTTGCTTCTCCTCTTCAGCCCACTGCTCTTCTCCGCCGGCTTCCTCCTCGCTGCCTCCACGGTGTGCTTCGCCGCCGCGTCCGCCATGGCCCTCGCAGGCGCCTCTGCGTTTGCGTGGTTGATCTCCGCCGTCCGCGGCGGCGGCGGCGAGGGACCCGCCGCCGCCCTCGCCTTGACGGAATCCGGCCGGCAGGTGAAAACCCAGTTGGGAGACCTCGGTGGCCACCTGCCTCAGCACAAGGTCCAGGTGTTCCCGGCGGAGACGAAAGTCAATCGAGGTTAAAGGGAGATCGATGGATGCCGCCATGGAAGAGCTCAGAGGAAGAGGATCTCGGTGTCTGTAAGTAGATAAAAAAACAGGATACCCTAATACTCCGAAAGAAGTTCCCGTTTAGAAAGTATGGATCTCTCCCCCTCGATATCCTTGTTTAATAATCTTTATCGGTCGAATTTATCATGGAAAAAGTTAATTTTTCTATAAAAAAGGAGGCATCTTGAGGCTGTGTGTGTGTGTGTGAGAGAGAGAGAGAGAGAGTATGATGCCACGTGTTCGTTGTCTCGAGTCACGTGGATGTCGCATGTGGCCTATCAACATTGGGAAATATACAGGAATATATTATTTTTAAAGTTGTACAGAAGGATTGATTGGAAAATAGCCGGGGAAAATCTGGGTATTCCTCATTCTTTCCAGACGGGGATGATCCCTTGGGCAGCCAGCCTCTTCTCAACCCAGAAGACAACGTGCCGGGGGGTGATCTTCTTCTCGTCGATGAGGAAGGGCTCTACAGTACTGACCTCTGAACCGTACGAGGAGAGAGAGAATCCCCTTGGACCTGGCATTCAATTCATGGAGTAAGAAAGAGAGGATATGCATGGAAGAAGGGGGGGGGGGGGGGGGGGGGCTTGAGAGAGAGAGAGAGAGGCTTACCATTGAGAACTCCGTCGGGGAAGAAAGCCCAGAAGTAGTATGGGATCTCCTTCTTCGTGAAGGACCCTTCCAACTGTGAGATAAGAGAGAGAGAGACGGAGAGAGAGAGAGAGAGAGAGAGAGAGAGTTTCAGAGCTTTAGCTGAGTAGATATCCAAGCTCTTCCTCAAGAAAATTTAGGAATGTAATGACTGCATGTCCTGGGTTCTCTAAAAAAAGACCGAATATGGAAAACGTATAGGAGGAATCGTCTGCACAGACAATAAAATTAGAACTTTCAATGATTAATCGAGGGACTTTTAAGGGGATGAATAACATTTATTTGCCGACGTGATGAATATTTACGGTAAGATAGAAAATTGGCTGGATTTTCTCATGATTATTTGCGCGCCCATCGGATTTTCTAGTTTGAGAAAATTATTTAGCAAGACCTAGATAACGCCTTTCAGGAGACGTAAATCTTTTGAAGGTTCAACTATCTGGGTTTCGAAGGGCAATGCCAAATATAAGAAACTGGGAATCAGAAATTATGATCTATTTCTAGAAACGATTCCATATAAAATCTTTGGAAATGGCTACGTTTCAGCTCCATGATTTCCCAAGGAACCAAGCTTTCATGACTACCAACCCGGTTATCGTTGAAGGAGAGCTCGATCTGAGAGATATCCTCTTCAGCCTCGAGTATCGACCTCAGAGCTGGGATGACGTCCTCTTCCATCATCTCCGGCAAAGATTTCGCCGGGGCCTTCGCCGGAGAAACCCTTTTGGGCTTCTCATCTGCTTCCTTCTTCGCTGGCTCAGCAGAAACCGTGCCGGTTGCGGTGGACGGCCCCTGCGCGGCGGAGCACACTACATTCCCACGCTGGCGCAAAACCTTACCGGCATCCCAAGGGCCTTCTACCCACGAGAGCGCCGCCGAGTACGGCGGCGGGATGGTGGCGCGCTGAATAGGTCTGGCAAGAGGGCAACAGATACCGAGGCAACGAGAGGCCATGCCCAAGGACACGATTCAATCAGAGGAAGCTCTGACCTGATGATCTCTCTCGCCTGATCCTCCTTTTCCTATCCTTCCCCTCCAAAGCTCAGCTTACGCTAGCATCTGGTTCGCCGGCCGTCGTCCAAAATCGTCCTCCGGCGAAGTTCCCGGCGATGGCGAATCGAGGGGCGGGTACCTGAGCGGGGGTGTTCGGTGTGGGTTCGGCGATGGGGCGAAGATGGAGGGGGAAGGGAGTCTGCGGCTCCACATGGAGGGCGAAGGCTATCCACTGGTTTTGAATGGCCCAGGTCTTCCAAAGGCGGCTCATTTAAGCCGCTACGTCTTCTGGCGCTCCGCCTACAGAGTTCGGACTCCTGCCGGTTCTCTTTCCGGGTCCCATCAACATCCAATGGAAAATCAGGACGGGTTTTGTCAGATTCCTGAGACTTGCATTCATAAATAAATTCTTATCCTACAGTCATAAAATTATACCCAACCAACTAATTTCATATAAGAACATAGATGGAGTTAATGCAAAGCATCGTAAATTTCCCTTTCAAGCGTCTGTTACCATCCCTCCCTCTCGGTCTCTCTGTCTGTCTGTCTGTCTGTCTCTCTCTCTCTCTCTCTCTCTCTCTCTCCGCACTTGTTCTCCGCCCCGTGTGATGAACGCATAGAATTCCCGTAGCAGAGTGCCGTAGAGGGAATGCACATTGAAATGCACATTGAATGTTATTTATGAATCTTGATAGGGACTCGAATCAACGTGCTTAAAGAGTCTCTGCAAACCGTTGATCTTCCTCGCATTTCCCGTTCAATATTTAGCGATCATCTAGAAATCCAGAGTTTCCAGTCATCTTCCTCGCATTTCCCGTGCTCCTTGTGCTCTCCTCTCGCCCAGCTCTCCATCTCTCTCTCTCTTCGTGTCTCTATGTATCCCTGCAGAAATATGAAAGTCAAGTACCCGCCCAAGAATGGATAATTTCATTTGAACGGCCAACAAGTTTCTTCGGACAACCAACCGCGGAAAAATCTTTTCCGCCACATCATCCGCTCTCTCTCTCTCTCTCTCTGCTCTCTCGCTGAATCTTATCTCTCCATCTAGAACAATGAATGCTTAGGTCAACCCAATGGTTGCAAAAAAAAAAAATCCACTGCTAGCAAGCTTCCACGAATTATCACGAAGTTTTCGACGTATTTCCAGGGAAGAAACCCGGATGAGGGTTTCACATGGAAGGCCTCAGAAAGTGTCCGGCGAATTATGAAAGGGCGAGGGGAGACTCCATCATCGGTGTCATCTATATATGGCACTCCTCTCCCACCTGAGGAAAGCCTGTGTTTTCCACGGAATCAGAGGCGGAGACGATGGCCAGAGCAACTCTGGAGGGTTTCCGCGCCGTTGCTCGCGGCGGCGCCTCAACCTACGCGGTTCCCTCTGCTATGTTTCTCCTCTGCATGGTGGCCGCGGCGCTCTTTCTTCTTCCTACGATTCTCTTCGCCTGTGGTCACAGGGACGAGAAGAATAGAGATACGTCTTGGGTACCAGATGCCGCCTGCTGCACCGGCTGTGGCGACGGCTGCGACTGCAGTGGGTGCTGCGGCTGAGGCGGTTGACTCTGTTCTCTGGCGGAAAACTCAGATCCAGCCTGGAAGTCAGAACTGCATCGACTCCAACTCTGCCCGACGAAACAAAGTCTTAGCTGCGAAAGTATGGATTAAGTTTAACTTTAGCCCGCCGATTAATCTCACTAGTCATCATTGGAAAGTAATTTTCAATTCTATTTTTGTTCCATGGATGGATAAAAGCAGGTGACAATTTTCATGCTAAAATTATGATGTAACCACATAAAAAGGATATACTCTTATACATGTGATCCGCAGTTCATAATGTGAACCGCTAGATTTAAACCCGAAAGCCACTCCTAAACTTGCCAACAAGTTCTGTACGTTGCTCCCTACTCTCTTGATCTAGCTGATAAGGTGAGTAGGTTGAGGATCATCGATGGTAGTAGAAGATTTCATCACTGCCTGTCCAGACGATGACCGACGATTTCATCGAAATTTTAGAAATTTTATGAAATTATCATTTTTAGTTTCTATAAGTCTCTTATCCTTTGCATGATTTACATCACTGGGGTTTTATCCTCTAAATTCGAGGCTTCGCCGTGGCTGCCTTGACGAACAGGCAGTTGACCTGCTCATCTACGAAAGAAAAAGTAAACGGCGAAATTGCTCTCGCTCACTCACTGACACTCTCTCTCTCTCAATCTTTGAGGCGAGGCGTCTGAGAGGAAGTCAGCGAAGCATGCAGCTTCGTAATAGGTTCCATGACATGTTTTATGTCTGTTGCCACGATACGATGAAGAAGACTCGCAGAAACAACGGTGCGACGGTAGCAACGGTTGTGGTGGCAGCTGATGGTGATCCTCTGGTCCCGAAACTACTAGGTCTAGTAGTGTCTGGTAATATCGGAGTCCCTTAACGCCGGTGGACAGAATTTACCCAATAATTATGCCGCAATTATAATGGTATTCTTACAGTTAAAATCCATGGGTAAACATACCTTATAGAAAATAAGCTGGAATAAACTTGAATTAATCTCTAGAAATACAATTCTTACGAAGGAAAAATTAAAGGGTGAAAATTGCCAACTCTCTCTCTCTCTCTCTCTCTTTATTAATCTTCCAGGCAAAGCTTCTAGAGAAATGTGCAGTTTTATTATAGGTTCCAACGGGAAGTATTTTATGTCCGTTGCAGATTAGATGGCTGCACTTTCGAATCCATCTGATGTCTAATACTCCTCTCTATCCTCTTCCCTGGTGTTGATAAGAGGTGAAGAAGGATGGCTAGAACCTTGTTGGTGGTCTATGGTGGCAGCTTCAGCTCAACCTATGTAGCCACAGGGCTCTCTTTCTCTTTTGCATGGTGATGTTATCTCTCTCTATGATTCCAACCATCCAGTTTGCGTGTGGCGATGGTGACCACGACATGAAGAAGCCTCATGGGAACAGCAGTGCTTACGGTGGTGGACGGGCGGCTGTGATGGCTGCGGTTGAAGATCCTTTGGTCCTAAAACCGTTAGGTCTACCTATGTCCGGTACTAAAGATGTCCCTTTAATTCCAACAAAGCCTAGAATTTAGTCGATAACTACATTGAAATTGTAATGATATTCTGTTAGGACACCGTGTCCTAACAAGGTCAATTAGTACGTAGATGAAAGGATAACAACGGCGGGATCGTTGATACCCCATCTTCGGTGAGGACCAGTTGTCTCACACTGTCCCCCACTACGCACCTTGTCCCCAAGGTGTGTTTCAAGGAAGGGCCATTGGATCTCGGTGAGCTGCTCCCATGTAGATTCTGTGTGGCTGATCTTTTCATTGCACGAGTGCCTCTGGACCTTGTCTTGTCTGACGGACATCCAACAGCTCTTTTGTCTTATAAAAGGAGAACCCCAGCACCTTTGTTCATCATCAAGTCAAGGAGTTCCTAGATCATTGAGTGACCTTATCTCCTCTCATTCCCTCTTCTCTACTCTCTCCGTTTGTCTCTCCTCTCTCTTCTCATCTCTCCTCGCATCTTTCTTCTCTGTCTATCATCTGTTTTTTCTTTAGACGGTCTGGTCTCCATGGCTCCATCTATTTATTAGAAAGATACAAGTAGGCGTCCATCCAATAGCTGCGTCAATTTATGTGGGCCACCAGTAACCTTCTTCGAATCTGCCATCTCGGAAAGATATTCTCCGTCATCATTATCATCTCTTGACTTTTTCCCCCCCTTTCACTCTCAATCTCTCTAGCTCGCTCGCTATATATGTACACATCCTGTAATCCTCTCTCTGCAGTTCCAGGCGCTGCTGCAGAAGAAGAGGTGAGGAAGAATGGCCAGAGCCTTGTTGGAGGCTTCCGGCAGCGCTGCGCTCCGCGACGGTCCCGCTTTCGCCGTCCCCGGAGGTCTATTTCTCTTTTGCGCGGTGGCGGCAGCGCTCGCCGTCATTTCTATGATCCTCTTTGCCTGCGGCAGTAAGGACAAGAAGAAAAAATCTGACAAAGCCGGCAGCGCAACCTGCTGCAGCGGTGACGGGTGTGGTGGCGGCTGTGGTGGGTGTGGCGGCGGGTGTGGTGGCGGCTGCGGTGGTTGATAAAGCCATGAGACCAGCGGTAGCCGAAGCTTGAGCAGGGAATGAAACCCATGAAATCAATCTCTAAAGGAGAACCTTTTGAAACCATCTGGCTGAAACATTGTATGCGCTCGTTTGAGTCAGATCATGGCCCAAACTTGTACTTTTAAGGCCAAAAGTCTAAATAAAGTCAGAAGACTGTTAAGGTCACTTGGCCCAGTTACCGCCCCCCATCTTTCTATTGAAACCAGATTATATTGTTGAGACTTTGACGAACAGCGTTAAAACCGTCACCTTGGCGAACAGAATCAGAACTGTGTCGAAGGTGACTCCAAGGGAGCCACCTTGAGTTTCGTATAGAGCGAGACCAAACCATCGGAGAACTCGTTTTACAGTTCAAAGGCAATCGTCGTAGTCAGATAGCGCGGTTACGTCGTCATAATCTTTCATGAGACTCGGAACTTTTTCAAGTGAGTTGCCATTTTCGTTGGATAATCATAAAGTTAGTCATGAGTGCGATGACTGTAGTGAATCGTGAAGTTGTTTTGGGCATCACATCTGGGAGTTTCCGTCTACTTTTACAACAAAATTTCCTAGAACTGCCCTCAAGATTTACTTCGCACTTCGATACTCACAGCTATCTGGGGATAACTAGCAAGTGTCGTGTAGAACTGCCATCGTAGATAGTATTGCCATTAAGTGATTGAGAATCTTCCTACATATTAAAATTCTTGTGATCTATTGTTTACGAAAATAATAGCTTGTTCATTCCCTTTGATCCCCCACGACAAACTTCTCGGAATTTTCCATCCTCGAAAAGTCTTCTCCGTCATTATCTCTCTCTCTCTCTCTCTCTCTCTCTCGCCTCCCCCCCTCACCATATTAGTGCAGATAAATGAGGATACATGTGTACCCAAGGCAAACATCATTTCAATGGGTCCTCCAGCAATCTTCTTCGAATCAGCCTGGAAAAAGTATTTTCGTCATCATCCCCCTCTAGGTATAAATGGATGTATCTTTGTCTTCTATCAATCCCTCTAACCATATATAGAGTGATGCAATCTTGGTCAATCTCTGCAACTCCAGGATCTTCGGAGGAATGGCCAGGGCCTTGCTGTAGGCTATCCGCGCGGGCGCGAAGGCTGCGGGTTGGCTTACGCCGACCGCGGATGTCTGTTCCTCTCTACATGGCGGCGGCGGCGCTCTCTGTCATTTACGACAGTTCTCTTTGCAACGGCGGACGAGGTCTTTAGCGTCACCTGCTGAGGCGGCGGCGGCGGCGGCGGGTGTGGTGGTGGCTGCGGCAGTGGAGGTGGTTGAGTGTATTCTCCGGCACCAAGGCCAGCAGTGCTCCTTGGGTTTAGTACGAAAGATTGGTCCAACAGAACAAGGGCTGAATGCGTTGGCTGAGTTTTGAAAGCTAGTTGGCTTTTTTGGCCGTTTCCTGCGGGATCATTGAATGCATTCACTTCATGGTGAATCATTAACTTCTTAAAGTTAATCTTTTCAAATTAATTAAATATATGATTATTCATTTCAAGCATGTCCTGGGGCCAGGACCTAAATGGCCGCCTTGATAACCGGCTGGGATTCCAGTTTTAGCCCAGGCTTATAACAACACCCTTATTTACGTCACAGCGTCAGCTGAGGTCAACTGAGGTTAACCTGGGTTAACTCAGTTTTCAGACACACAACTAAGACTCGTAATTGGGTTGGGTTCTGACCATTTGACCATTTTGATTGGAAAAGTTAAGCGACTTTATCTGGATCATCTCAGATAAGCTCCGACAACCCAATCTGTTTGGGTTCTAACCTGTCATCGAGCCAGCTGCAAAAGGAGCTCAGTCCAAGCATAATTCATGCCTGTACAGCCGATACTGGAAGCAGCCTAGAAAGTCTCTAAGGCAGGCTGCCGCTTTGAACGTGTTGTACTGACGACATTAGAGACTTTTTTAATGCAACAAAATAAAGGGAGCTAATGTATTATTTTTGAAAATTAGAAGTTCAAGTTTTGGAAAACTGTGAGAAAGAGAGTGTGCACCTTTCAGCCTCGTAAACAGAATATTCTCTCTCTCTCTCTCTCTCTCGGACTCTCTCTCTCCATCTAGAAAAAGGAATACATTTGTCAACCCAAAGACTACAAATATTTTAGTTCGACCGATAGCAAGCTTCCATGAAACATCACGAATTATTCCAATGTATTCCAATTAGGAGAAACCTAGAAGATTTTTCCACGCGGAAGCCCTCAGAAATTCTCCGGCAGATAAGGCTCCATCCCGTCATCATCTGCATATAGTCTCCTTCTCCCACCTGAGCAAGGCCTGGCTTCCACGGAATCAGAGGCGGAGACGATGGCCAGGGCAACTCTCGAGGGTTTCCGTACCGTTGCTCCCGGCGGCACTTCAACCTACGCGGTTCCCTCTGCTATGTTTCTCATCTGTATGGTGGCCGCGGCGCTCTTTATCCTTCCGAAGATTCTCTTTGCCTGTGGTCACAGCCATGAGAAGAAGAAGAAGTCTGGTGGAGACTCCGGTGAAAGGGATGGCGTCGACTGCAGCAGCAGTCGTGGTCGGTGTGGCGGCTGTGGTGGTTGACTCTGTTATCTGGCGCGAAAGCCAGATCCGGCATGGAAGGCAGAATTACATTGGCTCCAACTCTACCATACTGAACAAAAGCGTATGGATTAAGTTGAGTTTACACGCTCCGCATTGCCAAGAAAACAAGTGTACAAGTTTGCTAAAGCATATCACAATAAAAGTTTTCCACGATATGTTCAATCTGAAAAATTGTAATGATACACGCTCCATGTGTGTTTGTGTGTGTGTTATAAAACTCAGTCTAGAAATTGCGAAGATTAAAGAAAAAATGCCTCAAATAACATGACGAAAATCATTTTGAGAATTAAGATGAAATAATATACTCAAAATAAGGACAATTTTCCTTAATGATATAGTCAATATTGCATGCAAGATCCAATAAATATCCACCCAGTTAATGCCTCAAAACTACCCAACCTATGTTAGATAATAGATACCTCCCAAACAATAATAAGACACCTTCTCTATAGGTGTCTTATACCTCTAAATCAGTCTTCTATTTCTTGTATTATGTTCATCCAAAATAGCATACATCCTTTTGTTCTTTTATATCTAAGAACAGTCACCATATCTTGTTCTATTTCATTTCCTTAATTGTTCATACAATAGGTTTTAAGTTGTTGTGTTATTACACTAAGATGTCAATACTTCAAAGTAGTATAACAAGACATTAAATATGAGGGAGAAATGGAAGAGAGGTTGAAGTGACATAGTCATTGTATAATAAATCATGTAAATTTAAATATTTATAAAACTAGAAAATAGTGATTTTTATATTTGTAAAAATATAGTAGAATAAATAAATAAATTATAATTCAATAAAATATTTCAAAAATAATAAAAAATTTCCAAGTCAATCAAGGATGTAAAAAATATTAAGTAATATTTTAAATTATTTTGTAAAGAACATAATTTTTATAATTTTTAGATTAAATAATAAAAATAAAATATATTTAAAAATTCATAAAAAAAGAAAAAAAGGGTGCAAGTGTCAAGATGACATCAGCACCCTAAGGAATGCAAGTTAGGTGGAAATAGAGTTTTGTCCAGTGATCTTACATAAATGATTATAGATGATTTAATGGTTAAAATTAAGATCTACAAAAACTAGAAGAATCGTAATTGAATGAAGAATATTTTTGAAAATCAAAATCACATAAGTTATTACTAAATTAAGTAAAAATTAAGTTGAAAATAGGAAAGGTAGAATTCCAACCTCGTGACAGTGATCGTTGAAATTTTGTGTGTTCGAGTACATTATTGAATAATGTCCATGGCCTCAAAGCTCTCCTTAGACATAGATGACTTGGACATTTGCTAGATCTCCTTTTGAAGTCCAGAAAATAATGGTGAAAGTTAAACTATTTAAAAAAAATGATAAAATAGAGTTCTAGCATCACTGCGACGATTCGTCAAAATCTTGAGCATTCAGACAAATTGTCATGTAATGTTCACAGCCTCAAAAGTTTTTCTTGGACAAAGATGACATGAGTAATCTCTAGATCTTCTTGCAAATTCTAAAAATTAATGAAGTGGGTCGATGAATCGTCTTTGGCAGCTCTCACTTAGTAGAGTAAAAAAATGATGACTTTGTAAATCTTCAATGGTTGTCACCCAATGAAGATAAGCTGGATAGAGGTCGCACGCATATTAGGAAGCTTCATCCTTATATCAGTGCATAAGAGGTGGCAACTCGTCTCTTAGCAGATCATCCTCTTTTTAACGATGGTTTATTCATTGATCAATTAGAGATAATTTACTCAATAGATTCACAATCCTTTTATCTATAATCGTTCAATAATTTTAGTAATGATACTCCGCCAATTGCGTTGACAAGATTTTCACTGATGATTGAATGATTTTGGTGACTTAATACTTCACCAACAATCTATAGGAAAATTACGATTTAATCAAAGAAAAATATGAATTTTGGCTCTAGTAAGATTCGAACCCTCGCTAGTCATCCACTTATATGAGAGAGAGTGAAAACTATCTCTCATGTAAGTGAGGGGTATTTTAGAAAGTATATAGTGACGTCACTAAGGTGTCTCATTCTTATAACTAAGGGGTATTTTAGAAATTAAAATCATTGAAAACTTTCGAGAAGCCGATTTACTACAACAGTAGTTATTTTACAAGTTTTGAGGCATATATATAATAACAGAAGATCTTACTATCAACAAGCCTCTCTCTCGTGAGTGTACGACCACTCTATGTCCTATGCTTAGCTGGCCACAAGTGATGTGGAAAGAAAGTGATGCACATGTGTCCTCTACCAATCTGTCCTTAACCTCTTGAGCTCACTACTCGCAGCTCCACCTTGCTTCTAACCCACTTGCAGGCTTGATAACACATAAATAGTAGCTTAGAAATACACATTTATCTTCTATATTTTAGTATTATTTAGGATATTATTCAGTATTTACTCACCCCAATGATGTGATTAATACTCTCCTTCAGTATTAGACATGTCAATCAAATTAATGCTCTAATTGCAAATAATACCAACTTTAAAGTAGATCATCACATTGTACAAATGTTGCCACATTTTCATGGGATGACTCATGAGGAACCATATAAGCATTTAGAAGATTTCTCACAAGTTTGTGAAATCTCCCATTGCCCTAACATTTCTATTGAGACTATAAAGATGCAGTTGTTCCCCCTTACACTCAAAGATAAGACTAAGAATTGAGCTCGAGCCTTAGCTCAAGAGTTGAATTCTTGGAGTGATATGGAGGCAGCATTTCTCAAAAAAAAATATTTAGTAGGAAAAGTAAATTATATTAGAAGAGCAATAAGGAATTTTGTCCAAGGCCCCCAAGAATCTTTCTATGAGACATGGGAGAAGGTTAAGGACTACACGAGACAGTGCCCCCATCACGAGATTCAAAATTGGCAGCTAGTTCAGATTTTTTATAAGGTTGAATGAGAGAGATAAGCACATGATAGATGATGCCTCTGGTGGGACATTTATGAATAAATATGAGGACGAAGCAATAGAATTGACTGAAGGATTAGCTAAGAACAGCACACACTATTATGCCTTAAATCAAAGTGGTAGGTTCATGAGACCTAGGAAGGTAGGCATTCACGATTTGAAGAATGTAGAGATTGGTTTATTGATTGATAAGATTGAGAAACTAATCGAATGTGTGTAGGGGTAGATGCAAAAATCTTCAGCAATATGTTTCGACCATCAACAACTTAAAATAGATCAAGATATGATGGCTTGCGCATTATGTTCAAGCTATGAGTATGTGGAGGTCGACTACCCAAAATATGATTAGGTAATGGTAGTGAGTTAATTCCATTCTAACCATGCAGGGAATACTTGGCAAGGACACAAATCAAATGTATTTTCAAACCAGAATTATAACTCTAACTATAGAAACAATTAATTTGGTGGAAACTAATATAATAGTTGGAGAAAAAACCACGAGACAACCACTTAGGTTAGTCCGTTTTTTTCCTCATAGAACTTACATATGTAGAGATCAAATTGTCAAAATCATGACATCTTTGTAACTCACCATCATTCACAACAACCTGTAGGAGGCAATGAATTAACAATGTAAGAATTTCTGAAACAGATGTTGCAAGAACATAGAGAGCTAAAGCAAGAAATGGAGCGTATGAAGTTCAAAATTGAAAGACAACACCAGTCAGACCAAAGTCAATCTAATAAACAACATGGTAAGAGAATCAAAATTGGTAATAGTAGTAGGGAATTAGGTCAAATACCAACACAACCATTTATAAATCCTAAAAATTTAGATGGTTCCTCGAGCCAACATCATGTGTATCAAGTAGATTTTCATGATCAAGACTGAGACCCTTAATGCTATTTCAAAACTTCGAAATGGTAAGGTGCTCATTGACCCATATTGCACAATTGTAGGAGATTCAATGAATGAAGTACTTGAAGCACAACAAGAGGTGAGTTTGTCGAAAAATAAAGGTAAGAAAAAGAAAATCATTGAACCTGATCCTCAAGCATATGTTCCTCCCATTCCTTTTCCTGAAGCATTACATGGTGTAAAGGTTAAGAATAATGTTAACGATGATTAAATTTTAGATATTTTTAAATAAGTCACGATTAGCATTCCTCTTGTAGATACCATTCAATATATTCATGCATATGCTAAAAATTTTAAAAGGTTGTGTACACTACTTAAGAAACATAAACATATTCAATTGTCTAGGACAATTAGTTCTATATTATTGAATAAAATTCTTACAAAGCGGCGTGATCCAAGAGCAACATTGATCAAATGTGAAATCCAAGGTATGATTTTTAAATGTTCTTTACTTGATTCAGGAGCAAGTGTTAATATTTTACCCAAGGCCCTATATGATTTGTATAAAATCAGTGATTTACAGCCATTATTAGTAGAATTGTAATTGGCTGATGGATCAATCCGTCAACTATATGGGGTATTAGAAGATGTTATTATTAATTAAACATTATTATTTTTCAGTAGATTTTATTATTGCTGATATGAAAATTACAAAAAATATTAGTCATGCTCTAATTATTTTAGGGTGACCATGTTTAGCCATAGCAAAAGTAATAACAAATTGGGGTAAGGGGATGATAAAATTAAAATTCAGGCAAGAGAAAGTTGAATTAAAAATTATAAAATTATTAAAATGTCCTAACCAGCTGAAGATTTGTGCATGGTTGATGTTGTTGATGTGTGTGTAGAGGAAATTTTTAGCGAAGATAGAAGCAATATGTTTTACCCACACATTAACGACAATCTGGAAAATTCTTCAGCAACTTTGCTCAGTATTCTTCCAGCCCTTAAGCTATTACCTTCACACATGAAGTATGCATATTTAGGCTTACATGATACATTCCCTATCATTATCTTTTCTACCTTAACAATTGATCATGAAGAGAGATTAGTAAATATATTAAGGTAACACTAGACAACCATCGGTTGGTCTCTTTCAGACATGCAAGGGATTAGTCATGAAGTATGTATGCATAGAATATTCACTAAAGAGAATGCCTAGCCAATTAGAGATGTACAATGAAGACTCAATGTAAAAATATTGGAGGTAGTTAAGGTTGAAATCCTAAAGTGGTTGGATGTTGGAATCATCCATGCATTTCTCATAGCCCATGGATTAGCCCAATTCATGTTGGCCCAAAGAAATTAGGCATCATGGTATCGACAAATGACAAAGGAAAGGAAATTCAAACCCGTCACAAATTGGAGGGTTTGTATTGATTACAAGAAGTTAAATCAGGTTACTATGGATGATTTTCCCTTGCCATTTATTGATCAAATATTATAACAAACTTGTTGGTCAATGCTATTTTTGTTTTTTGGATAAATATTCTAGTTACAATTAGGTAACAATATGTCTAGAAAATTAGGAGAAGACTACCTTCACCTATCCTTTTGGTATGTACGCTTTCACTAGAATGCCATTCTGGCTATGTAATGCACCAGCCACCTTCCAACGATGTATGACTGCCATGTTTTCCCCATTAGTAGGAGAATGTTTAGAAATCTTTATGGATGAGTTTTCTGTATTTGGTCAAACCTTTGATAATTGCTTAATCAACCTGACCAAAGTTTTGCAGGTTTGTGTGAAATAGAAACTCGTTTAAAGTTGAGAAAAGTCCCATTTCAATGGTAACTGAAGGTGTGGTGCTAGGCCATATAGTTAGTCAACAAATATTAGAAGTCAACAAGATAAAAATTTAGGTGATACAAAATCTGCCTCTTCCCACTTCTATTTGTCAACTGCACTAGGCGTGTCCATTTTTATCAATGATTTATTATAGGATTTATCAATTTAGCTAAACCTCTAACACAACTCCTAGTTAAGGACACTAATTTTGTGATAGATGTTGTAGGGCAATCAACTTTCCTAAAACTTAAGCAGGCTCTTATTGAAGTGCCTATCCTTAAAGGCCTAGATTGGACTTACGCTTTGGAACTTATGTGTAATGTGTCTGATTTTGCTATAGGTGTTGTATTGAGTCAACGAATAGATAAAAAACCAGTAGTAATTTATTATGCAAGCAAAACTCTTGCTGAAGCACAATTGAATTATACTGCTACTGATTTTTTTTTTACTTATTATCATTTTCACCCTAGATAAATTTTGATCTTACCTTCTAGGAAATAAAGTGATTATTTATATAGATTATTCTACAATTAAATTTCTTTTGGCTACGAAAGAAGCAAAATCTAGATTAATATGATGGATTCCTATACTACAAGAGTTTGATTTAGATATCAAAGACAAAAAATGTAGTGAGAATTATGTAGTAGATCATTTGTCTAGATAACGAGTTCATGATAATATACCTATTTTAGATTCTTTTTCTAACAAACAATTGTTTAGTGTTAATGCATGCAAGATGCCGTGGTATGCTCATATTGTCAATTATCTAGTGACAGAACAATTACCTACAGAATAGTTTGTAAATGTTAAACGTAAGTTTTTCAATAACCTCAAATTTTATTTTTGAGAAGAATCAGAACTTTTTAATTTAAATGCTGACCAAATTTTTTACAAATGTGTACTAGAAGAGGAGCAATTTAACATTCTAATAATGTGTCATTCTTCTACTTGTGGAGGATGTTTTGCCTCTAAAAAGACTGCTGCAAAAATTTTACAGTGTGGTTTCTATTGGCCAATAATTTTTTGTGATGTTCATGAGTTTTGTAGGAAAACATCATGTCAAGCTACAATGAACATCTCTAAGAGGAATGTAATGCCACTACAACCAATCTTAGAAGTAGAAAATTTTGATTTCTACAGGTAATGAGTATATTCTTTTAGTTGTAGATTATGTGTCAAAGTGGGTAGAGGCTATTCCAACCAGAACAAATGATCATAAGATTATTGTTAAGTTCATTATGCAAAACATATTCTCTAGGTTTGGATGCCCTCATGCCATTATTAGTGATGGCAGTTCTTACTTTAGCAATTCACACTTTCGAAATCTACTTAGAAAATATAGAGTTCAGCATAGAATCACAACCCCTTATCATCCATAGGCTAATGAACAGGTAGAGCTTAGCAATAGAGAAATTAAAAAGATTTTGAAAATAATTGTTAGACCTAATGGTAAAAACTCCGCAGAAAAATTACTAGATGTATTGTGGACTTATAGAACAGCTTACAAAAACCCAATTGGCATGTCTCATTATCGTTTGATTTATGGCAAAGCATGTCATCTTCTAGTTGAGATTGAACATCATGCTTATTTGGCTATTAAGCAACTTGATATGTCCTTAGATCATGTAGGGAAGCATCATCTTCTCCAAATGCAGGAACTTCAGGAGCTACGTAATGAAGCTTTTGAGAATTTGCATATCTACAAAGTGAAACTCAAAGCTTTTCATGATAGAAATCTAAATTTTAAATCTTTTGTTGAAAATTAGAAGGTTTGGTTATATAATTCACAATTAAAATTATTTCTGGAAAAACTTAAATCAAGATGAGATGGATCATTTATTGTTGTGCAGATTTCTAATTGTGGAGCTATCTTAATAGCAGATCCAAAGATTGGAAAAACATTTAAGGTAAATGAGCAACGCTTGAAACCCTACCTTGAGAATGATTAGCAAGTAGCTATCAGTTCCATCAACTTCAGTCAACTACGTCATCCTAGCAGTAGCTGTTGACTCTTGTATCAACAGATTTTCTTTTTTGTTTTGTTCCACTAAGTTTCTTTCAATATTCATTTTCTAGTTAAGTTGACTATTTTGTTTTTACCTCAACATCCACCTGCCACATCATTCATTGAGTTGCAATCAGGATGTATACACATGATCTCTCCATCAAACACCACTTTGGGTTTGTCGTCCTTAGCTCTTCACTCATTTTCACACAAATTTGATTTTGAATTGTCTTTTCTTCTTGTAGAATGCACTGAGGACATTGCACTGTTCTACTAGGGGGGAGCAGCAATAATAGAGTAAACAATGCATCAGTTGAGTATAAAAGATAGTGACATTTAAGTGCTTTTCTTACACACTAGTATAATTATGAACTACTTGTATGGATCAAATCATGTAAGATCACTAGTAATATTTTGTGTTAATTTACTTCTATATAAGATTTAGTGCAGTAAATTGAACCATTTTCAATTCGAATCAAAAAGTTGTTGAACTGCACTAGAGCTAGCTGAAGCATCTTTGATGAATTAGTCATGACTACGCTGGAGGCAAGGCAGGACATGGGTGAAGATTACACCAGTAAATAACATTTGATAGCACCTTGGCTAGTCTTGTGGGGCTTCCACACATGTGACTAGGATCAGCAAGGCTTGCATAATGCCTGCTACATATCAAAAATGCAAAAACAACACCTCTATTGATCCTGTGGGGCTTCCACATATGTGACTAGGATTTGCAAGGCTTGTGAAAAACCTATCAAAAACCATGCAGAGTGAAGCCCCGAGAGATATGCATGATAAAGGGGGTCTTCCCAATTGTCCCATTGAGATTCCAAATGTGAGGCTTGGACAAAACAAAAAAATGTTTATGGGAAAAACTACCTACATGGAGTATAAAATATGAACAAGCTAGTGTAATTGAGCCAAGTCTTAACCTTGGTGCATGTATATGAGAATTAGACAAAGAGTTTGTGAGCATGGCAACTATGTAACATCGTATTCTTCCTTAATTAATAGCTAAGGGACTAGCAATGAGTTAAGTTGAGGGGTGTGGTAACACATAAATAATAAGTCAGAAATGCACATTTATCCTCTATATTTTAGTATTATTTGAGATATTATTCAGCATTTACTCACCCCAATGATGTGATTTTAATGTTTGAAAGTATGTTAACATTTTTGGTATTTTTTTGAATTTTCTTGAATTACTCTTTTGATATACATTTGATGTCACATTAAATATTGCCATGATTGACCTTATATTTTAAGAAGTTTATTAATTTGCTTCGAGGAGTTTTTAGTGATTTATTACTTAGGTCTAGGGCATCTAATATGTGACTAGAATCCGTCTATTACATGCAAAGTGCTCCTTATGACAAAAGCAATCTAACGGGCAAGGAACATAGACACAAAGGAAGGAGGGCTCACCAATCCAACAGTGGAAGGTGACTTGATGAGGAACCAGCCATCCAATGGTGGAAAGCAATAGAGAGAGGAGGCCCACAGATCTAATGGTGTGCAGTTAGCTAGAAAGGTGCAAAGTCACCAAAACCTTCCTACAATCTCTCTCGTACATAGAGAAGAAAGAGAGAGAGGAGAGGGCATTGCTCCATATATTGGGGGAAAAATAATGTTCTGAACAACTCTTTTGATAGTAGAAAATCGTGGTCCTTGCACCCACCTAGAGGGGAAAGGTTTTCCAAGGCTCCATTGTGCATGTTTGCAGGTGTATTGTGATATGAATAGAAGTTCATCTCGCCTGAACAAGGCCTCTCCCACTACTACAAGACTGCCTCTTCTTAGCAGAAATAGGGAAGAAGGATTGGTGAAGCCAGGTTAGTTTCGTGGTGAATGATGTCCCTATTCATCTAGGGTTAGATTTCAGTCTAAAATTAGAGGTAGGTTAGATTTGGGAATATTATTTTACACATCATCTAATTTCTAATTTCATTCCTTCTAAATTTGAGAAATCAGATCAAGAACTCATCTTTCACCCTTCTCATCTCTCCCATCCACATTCTTCCTCTATCACTTGCCTTTTTCTCTTCCTCTTTCACTTAAACATATGAGTATTAAATCATTTAGGCTTAATGTTACCTATAAAAATCTGAACTCATCAAGGCTTGGCTAGTTGGAGGGTCCCCCTTTTTCTATCTTTTTATTTTATTTTATTTTTCTTTATTTATTTTAAAAATAGGATTATAAAAATTATATAAAATCACATAAAATCATATAATTAGTCAAAATTCACATTAACTAACTAAAAATTATTTTTCATAGTTTAACACAAATATAACTCTATTTATTATGAGTTAAGGCTTAAATTATATTATTAATTAATTATTAACTCATGATAATGAAGACTTATCAAAGGTTATGGACAAAGAAGACACATTGGAGAGGATAAAGAATCCTAGAATTGCAAAGGTTTTCAACTCTTGTAAAATAAAAATTTGTAAAAAGGTTTAAACCCTCTCTTCTCTTAAAAAGAGACACATTTTTCCCTTTATATTAAATAAAATTCATACCAAATAGAGGGGACAACACTCCTTTGCTTCTAGGCCTATTCTTAACCCAAAATTGTTGAGATATTTTATCATATCTCAATAGTCTATACCTTGATGAATATCTCAAAGCCTTCAAGATGACCCATCTTAAACTCCACCACAACAATACTTCACCTATCTCAAAAACTTTAAATTTAAATTAAATTCAAATAGTGTTTAAATTTATCTACTGAGTTATTTTATTAATATATCTACAACATTACCTAATGTGTGGATTTTCTCTAATAAGATATCTCATGTACTTATTTTTCTCAAACCTTATAATATATCACATCAATGTGGTCTAAATTTATGTCATATATTTGATTCTTTGTCAAATAAATAACACTTTGACTATCACAATAGAGAACTCCATCTTGATTAAAACTTAGGTTCTTCCACAAAGCCTCTTTAACTACCTCTACTATAGTCATACACTTAGGCTCTATTGTGAGTAATATGATGGTAGCTTGAGGTGTTGAGTTTAAACTTTTTTGACCCCCTTGCAAGAAAAAATACATAACATTATGAATCTTTGATTATCTAAATCACATGTAAAATCCACAAAATCATTCAATGATAGTAAATTTTACATCTAAAATATGATTTCAACAACATTGGAACTCCTTAGATATCTTAAAATATACTTCACTATATTTCAATACTCTTTCTTTTGATTTCTCATAAATACACTAACCACACTAGTTTCATACATTATCTGGTCATGCAAATCATAGTATACATTAGAGCACCCACAACATTAACATGATAAATTTTCTTCACTTCTTCAATCTATATCTAAAATTTAGGAATTTTTTAGTAGATAATTTTGAAATCATTTGTCAAAAAGTTGTTTGAGTGTTTAGCATTATTCATACCAAATAAGTCAATTAACTTTTTAATGCAACCTTTTGAGATATCCCTAGTTCTCCCTTTTGTTGGTCTCTATGTATTTTCATTCCAATGTTCTTCTTCACTAGTTCAAGATCTTTCATCTCAAAATTCTTTATTTAATAAATAGTTTAGCTTTTAATATTAAATCATGATGAAGAAGTACTCATCATTTTATGTCACTATCCAAACTTTAAATTTTAATACCACTCATTCTAAAATTAGCCTAGAGATTATAAAGAATATAAAATAAATATCTCAAATTATATGCAACTTAAAATAATTTTAGAATAAAAATAGAATAATATATTCAAAAACAAAACCTGTCTCAAATATCTAATCAATATTTCATGCATGATCTTCTAAATGTCTTATTAGTTATTGCTTCAAAACTTTCCAACAAATGGTAGATTATAGATGTCTCCTAGACATTAACAAGATGCCTCTAGCTCTCTTAGACTATAAATTAGTCTAATATTTGGTATATTATTTTCATTCAATATAACCTACAACTTGTTATTTTTTATCAACTAAAAAATCAGTTGCTACATCTTCTCATTGCTCTCTTTCATTGCTTAAACAACTTCCTCTACAACAAACTTAAAATTGTTGCTCCATCCCATTGAGATTTTAATATCTGAAATGAATCAAATAATAAAGCAAATAGGATAGAGAAGTGAGAGAGCGATTGT